CCTGGGGGTGCGGAGCCTGGGGGTGTTGAGCCTGGAGGTGCTGAGTCTGGGGGTGCTACGTCTGGGGGTGCTGAGCCTGAGCGTGCTACGCCTGGAGGAGCCCTCTCCTCGCACCAGCTGCAGGAGAGGTACCTCGAGTACTGCCGCCTCCGGAGAGGTGCTGCTGGAGCTCGTCCCGGTACTTCCCCTCCTTCCCAGGAGCTCCCCCCCATTCAGGTGATTCGAGAGTGGTACACACGGCGCTGCAGTCTTCGGAGTGGTCCTCCTGGCGCTGCGGACCCGGGCGTTGGAGCTGCTACAGGTGCTGAGGACCCGGACGTTGGAGCTGCTCCTGGTGCTGCGGACCCGACTGGTGGCGCTGCTGCTGGTACAGAGGACTCGGACGTTGGAGCTGCTGCTGGAGCTGAGGACCCGAGCGGTGGCACTGCTGCTGCTGCTGAGGACCCGGGCGTTGGAGCTGCTACTGGTACTGAGGACCCGGGCGTTGGAGCTGCTACTGGTGCTGCGGACCCGACTGGTGGCGCTGCTGCTGGTGCTGAGGACCCGACCGGTGACGCTGCTGCTGGTGCTGCGGACCAGGGTGTTGGAGCTACTGCTGGTGCTGAGGACTTGGGCGCTGGGGCTGCCGCTGGTGTCCCTGCTGCTTCTGGAGACGCTGCGCGACCGCGACCGTACTTCGTCCCGCTCCTTCAGCAGGTTCTTGGTCAGGCTCCTCCTCCTGGTCCTCCTCCCTCCGTCGAGGGTCCTCTACCTGTCCAGCCGCAGTCACAGTTACCGCCCGCCTCGCCTCTCCCTGCTCCCTCTCCTTACGCTGGTCCCACAGGAGGTCTTACAGAGCGTCGTGAGCCTGAGTCTCGTCCTGCGTCGCCTGTTCGTACCGCTCGCACTGGTCGTCGTGTCCCACGTGAGCGTCCTCCTCCTGTCCCTGGCACTCACTACATGACTCTGCGTCCCTCCACTGCTCCGCAGCGTGTCCCGCTGCCGTCTCCTCCTGCGTCCTCCCTACCCACTTTTCCTGACCCGGAGTCTGACGCCCGTCGTGCTGCCAGTCCCACTGTTACGCGTCTCCTTGCTACCGTTGTCACTGACCCTTCTTTTGAGTCCGCCGCTGCGTCTGCTCTGGTCGCTGAGTTAGTTGACTTTGCTGCTTGCTGTCGCCTAGACTACGCTGCTAGCCTAGTGGCTGAGTCTGAGTCTGAGTCTGCCTGTCCTCCGTCCGTCGGGGGTGCGTGTGCTCTTGGCACGGACGTCCTTGAGGACAGACAGGAGGAGTTCCATTGCTTTGCTGCTGCTTTGCCCCATCTCGTGTCCATGCTAGTTGCCCCTGAGGGAGACCCGGATGCACCAGACATCCCGACCCCACGCTCTTACGCTGAGGCGATGGCGGGTCCCTACTCCTCTCAGTGGCAGACGGCCATGGACGCAGAGATGGCTTCCTGGAAGTCCACAGGCACCTACGTAGACGAGGTTCCCCCTCCTGGGGCGAACATCGTCAGTGGCATGTGGATTTTCAGGGTGAAGCGGCCGCCGGGTTCTCCGCCTGTCTTCAAGGCGCGCTACGTGGCTCGAGGCTTCAGTCAGCGAGAGGGAGTAGACTTCTTTCAGACCTTCTCCCCCACCCCGAAGATGACTACTCTTCGGGTGCTGCTGCACATAGCCGCTCACCGCGACTACGAGCTTCACTCTCTTGACTTCAGCACTGCTTTCTTGCAGGGCAGCCTGCACGAGGAGATCTGGCTGCGCCGCCCCCCTGGCTTCACTGGGTCAGTTCCTCCTGGCACCCAGTGGAGGCTTCAGCGGCCGGTCTACGGTCTCCGCCAGGCGCCACGTGAGTGGCACGACACACTGAGGACGACACTTGCGGCTCTTGGGTTCGCTCCCTCTACTGCTGACCCGTCGCTGTTTCTACGCACCGACACCTCACTGCCGCCGTTCTACATCCTCGTGTACGTCGACGACTTGGTCTTTGCCACTGCTGACACCGCGGCACTCGCCCACGTGAAGTCGGAGCTGCAGAGGAGACACACGTGCACAGACCTGGGTGAGCTGACGAGCTATCTTGGCTTGCGGATCACCCGGGACAGAGCACGGCGCACCATCACCCTGACTCAGTCACACATGGTGCAGCAGGTTCTCCAGCGCTTCCGCTTCACGTACTCCTCGCCTCAGTCCACTCCTCTGCCTACCGGTCACTCGCTCTCAGCTCTGCCTTCGGATGAGTCCGTAGAGCCGAGTGGCCCGTATCCAGAGCTTGTGGGCTGCCTCATGTACCTGATGACCTGCACTCGACCTGACCTTGCATACCCTCTTAGCATCCTAGCACGCTATGTCGCTCCTGGCCGTCACCGGAAGGAGCACATGGATGCTGCTAAGAGGGTGTTGCGCTACTTGTGCAGTACGTCGGGCATGGGGCTTGTGCTTGGAGGGCGAGACCGGGTTGTTCTCACAGGGCACTCAGACGCTTCTTGGGCAGACGACCAGGCTACTCAGCGGTCGTCCCAGGGTTACACCTTCAGCCTTGGCTCTGGCTCAGTTTCTTGGCGTTCTACTCGCTCTTCTTCTGTTCTCAGCTCCAGTTGTGAGGCTGAGATCTACGCCACAGCCATGGCTGCTCAGGAGCTACGCTGGCTGACCTACCTGCTGACCGACCTCGGAGAGCGGCCTAGTTCTCCTCCAGTGCTGTACGTCGACAACAAGGCTGCCATTGCCTTGTGTGAGGAGCACAGACTGGAGCACAGAACGAAGCACATCGCTCTGCGGTACTTCCTTGCTCGAGAGCTTCAGCAGCGTGGTCAGCTTTGTCTGCGTTACGTGGCCACGGAGGCCAACACTGCTGATGTGTTCACCAAGGCGCTTCAGCCTTGTGACCATCAGCGCTTTTGCACTCTGTTAGGCCTTGTACCTACTGGGCCTCACTTGCTTACCTCTTGACCTTGCTTGTACTGTGATCACTATATATATATCCCTACTTGTTTACTTTTGCTAGGTTGTGATCACTGTATCTCTTGCTTTGTTATAAACCTGCATGTGAACTGGTCTTGTGACCGCTTGCTTGTGCTCGGAATTTGTGTGGAATCCTTGAGATCCACCCTGAGCTTGCTTTGCTTTGCTTTGACTGGTCTTGTGACCCTGTGGTTGTCTCCCACTGCGCCTATGGGGGTGTGTCAAACATTGCATGTTTATATTGTCTAGGCTGTAGTGGGTTACACCTTAGGGGGTACACAAAGTTAGGGTTTCCTACTTGTACCAAACTCTGTTCTAGTTCATTCATTCCTGTTCAGTTATTTCTGACAGTGTCAGCGTACGAAGTCCTCTCGACAGTGCAAGGCAGGACTTTTGCAGCCGATTCCACCACCCGACCGCCCTTGGCAGGTAGTCACCATGGTTTTGATCATGGCTTTACCGCGCATAGTTAGGGGTCACGATGCCATCTTCGTGGTAGTGGATAAGTTTTCTCGAGCAGCGCACTTCATCCCCACGCACGGCCAGGTCACAGCAGAGGAAGCCGCGACGCTGTTCGTAGATAACGTAGTCCGACTGCACGGGGTTCCAGATTCGATCATTTCCGACCGCGACCCTAGATTCACCTCGAAGTTCTGGAAGCAGCTTTTCGCACTGTTTGGGACTCGCTTAGCCATGTCGTCAGCGTACCATCCAGAGACAGACGGACAGACTGAGCGCGTGAACCAGACCTTGGAGCAGATTCTTCGCAGCATCACGATGCACGACGCAGCAGCATGGGACAAGAAGCTGAGCATGGCCGAGTTCGCATACAACAACACGCACCACTCCGCCACAGGCATGTCACCGTTCTTCGCACTGTACGGTCAGCACCCCAATGTCCCCACTCGTGTCGATCTCACACCCACAGTCCCACGTGCTGATAACTTCCACCAGCACCTCACTTTCATTCACGACCACGTGAGGAAGCACCTTGAGCTTGCAAATGCACGCATGGCACGCACCACCAACCGCAGTCGTCGTGAGGTGTCGTTCGCAGTTGGCGACCGTGTTCTTTTGGACAGCCGCAACCTCCGACTGCCACAGGACGGCAAGCTTCGCCCACGTTTCATTGGTCCATTTGTCATTGAGCGCGCACTTGGTCCAGTCGCATACCGCCTTCGCCTTCCCGCTCATTTCCGCATGCACCCATCATTCCACGTGTCTCTCCTTCGGCCTTACACCGATCCCAACGCCACCTTCTCGGGCCGTGATCGCACTCCACTGCCGGTAGCTGTTGACACCGACGAGCCCGACTACCAGATCCAGCGCATCCTCAGGCACCGTCGCCGTCTCCAGGGGGGTATCTCCTTCGTTGACTTCTTGGTTCGTTGGCGTGGTTACGATGCAGCCGACGACAGCTGGGTCCCTTCGTCCTCGCTGTCTCCTGACAACGCTTGCCTCAAAGCGTACCTTCAGTCTGCAGGCGCCGCGGACGTCGCCTCCTTGGGAGGGGGGTAGTGTTACAAGGGGTTTTACTGTTCATTCCGAACAGTACATTTCCCAACCCATCCAACCTTATCTTCCTAGATTTCCATGTGCCACGTGGCACTCTACTTTTCTACCTTCACAATTCCTAGTCCCACAATCTACTTTCCAACCTTGTTTCTTGCATGCTATATCAACCTTGCTTGTAATCCCTCATATCAACCAATTCTCATTCAACTCTTCTTCAATTACCTAGTAACTTCTTCGCCTCTTTCGCCAACACTCTCTTTCACCAAAGTCTTCCGCCGCGTTTATCCTCGACTTAGTCGACCCCGCTAATTCTTTAGCGGACTTAGGCCGTCGGGCCTAACACCGTTCACGTGCTGTTACTTGTCTACACTTCATCAAAATTCTGCAAGCTTGAAATACAAATCTCTATACCGGAAACATTCACTTCAGAAGTCCACCACACTTGGCCCGCTGGCGGGGCGTAATGTCATGATCCTTTACCTTAATAACCCACCAAACCGCTAAAAATGCAGAAATATCCTTCTCGCATCTTACTGAACCGCATGAGCTTGAAGCCTCACGCCACACCCTATTTCACCTTGACTTTTCTTAGCGAAGCCACACCACCACTCCATCCACAACCCGCCCTTGTCCGCCGCCGCATTAGTCGGCGTGACACGCGTTGCTCCCTTCGCTTCTCGCTTCGCATCTCCGAGGGAGCAGTTTCGTGCTTGCTGGCCTCATAATTTTTCGCTTATCGCTCTCACCACGTCGTTCCTTTCCGTCACCAACGCTATCTGTTAGGCTTTCCCATTGTCTCTCTTCTTCCGATCTTCGCACTTCAAACTCCATTGTCCTTAGTCATCGAACCTTCCAAAACTATGGCGTCTCTTCGCCAGGTCACCACGAAGCTCGGCTCCTCGTCTCTCGAGGAGGCTCGGCACCGAGGCTTAGATCTGTTTCGCGAGACCTGCCGTGCGTTACCGAGCATCATGTTTCGCTACAACCTTGACGAAGTGATCACGCGACAGGAGCTGCGTTCGCGAATCGCCAACGAGTTTCGGCGACACAGCGACGTCGAAAATCCCAAGGTGTGGATTCTCTAGGGTGTTACCCGGCACCCGCGCCCAGCCATTCATGATGCACTCACCATTCTTTGCATAATCAGACTTCTAGGCAGGAGTAAACAGAAAGAAGCTTGAATAAAGTAGCTGTGTCAGAGTTTCCACTCCTTGGGTTGTAGAGAAGAGAATGATAGGACGCTGGGAGAGAACTGCGAGTTTAGAGTCCACTGAAAAAAACAGAGTCGAGTGAAAGAACCACGTACTTGTATTAACTGTTTCAGTGTTCCAGTGAAACCGTGCCAGTGTTTCAGTGGAACCGTGTCAGTGTTTCAGTGAAACCAGTGTTCCAATAAAGTGTGTCAGTGTTCAAGTGAAACTGTGTCAGTGTTCCAGTGAAACTGTTTCAGTGTTTCAGAAGCTGGGTTAGTGTTTCAGTAACGTGTGTCAGCGTTCCAGTGAAGCTGTGTAGGTGTTCCAGTATACTCTGTCAGTGCTCCCAACCCTTTGGTTGTAGGGAATGACGACTTTTCAGGAGACAAGTAGAGGGTTAGGAATACGGGTCTCGGTTCGTGCAATGTGATTGGGTGGCAAGCCTTCGGCTTCTTATACTCACCCCTCCCTGCCTTTCAGGGCACCAGGCACGGAGGAGCTGGTGAACTCAGTGGCCCTGTTTGACTGTTCTTTGCACCAACCCAGTCAGTCAAACAGCGGTCCTGCCAAACCCAACTGATATTACACTACCTGTGCCTGCATACACTCTGTATGATACGCGTCAGGTGATCCATTTGCTGGTGGTGAAGGGCAAGGAGGAGCTGGTGAATTACCTCAACCACTCAAAGCAGGAAACCTGTCAACTGAGCCTGTCGCGTAGCTCTTCATCCCCTCTGTACCCCCTCCTTCCATCAGGCGATCGATCTGCTGGTAGTTAAGGGCAAGGAGGAGCTGGTGAATTCTCGGAACCACTGAAGGATCGGTCCAGTCAACTAAGGTTATACTCCATGGTCTGTATTTTTGTGTCGTATCCCCATTAGGTGATCGATCTGCTGGTGGTTAAGGGCAAGGAGGAGCTGGTGAATTTTCTGAACCACTCGAAGCAGCGGCACCATGTGATTTCGCAGTGGGTGGTGGGGCCGCAGGGGCAAGTGCCCACCATCCCTGGAGGGCCGCACCACAAGCCAGGCATCGTGCCAAAGGGCAGTGAATCTTTGTTCCTTAGAAATTTCTACGAGAGCAACTGATCTGGAGCAGAAACCTGTAAATGTGCAACTGAGGGCCCCCTACCACAAGCCAGGAATCGTGCCCATGGGCAGTGAATCTTTGTTCCTAAGTAACTGCTACGAGAGCAACTGAGTTGGAGTGGTTACGATGGGTTAGAGAGGTGGAAACCTGTAAATGAGGGCGGGTATTGGATGAGTTGGGTCAATGTAGTACTGTGCTTACTTCCTACTGTTGTGCACTACGATCTACATTTAGAGATTGATTACGGTACTGTCTGTTGTGTATGCTGGGATGGGTCATGCTTCCTCTCCTTGGGAAAAAAAGGGCCATTCATAGTGTGATGTCATGGGTTTACACCATGCATCCTGGGACAGAAGGCCAGGAGACAAAACGACTCCACTGGGGATCGAACCCAGAATCTCTGGTTCCGTAGACCAGCGCCTTATCCATTGGGCCATGGAGTCATGTCCCTGTACTTTTTAGATTTCTCAGTTCTAACTTCATATCACAGAGTGCCCACACAGCTTCCGTAAGTATCAAGTGTGACAAGATTTGGGTAGGGATGGCTCTATAATGTTCACATCTCCAACCTCCAAAGCATCAGCTCGTTCCAGGAGTCCGGCACCCCTGGCAAGCAATAGTGAATGCAATCAGGGTGACTTCCAGGAGCGTACACCCCAGGGTGCCCATCCTGTCTCGTTAGAGTCAAGTTGTGCATATCTAAAAGGGAGATGCGTGCTCCAACCATATCTTTCTGCTGCTGCTGCTGCTTTGCTGTAACTGTGCTTCCAGGAACTCCAGATCTCCTCTGTTGCTCCGCTATAGAGTGCTCCACAACATCTGTTAGTATCACATTTCGTTCCTGTATTGGCGGCGCTCTGGCATGACCCAGACCATCCAAATCGCTGGGAGAAATTGGTCGAGTGGATGGGCAGGACTGGTTCGCGCATTTATGCGAAGGCATCGTTGTAGTCACAATCACATGCTTGCCCGTGAAGGTTGGCTCCAGGAAAGCGGCCAGGGTGGAGTTGAGAGCGGTGCGGTAGGATGTGAGTATATCGGTGTGACTGTACGGAGGGGCGAGAGTGATGTTATAGAAGCCTAGCTGAGAAGTGGTCCACCAGAGCCCTGCAGTACAGAGAGCATGGGAGTTACACAATGGGAGGACCAAGAAAGTGTAGAGGTCAAGAAGGGTTATGTGCCAGCACAAAAAGGCTACTGTGTGTTAGACTAGGAGAGCTACTGTGCCAGTCCGGAAAGGATACTGTAGGAAAGGTCAGTAGGAAGACAAATGTGCGGAGGGGAGTGTGTGAGGTTCGATCAACGGAGGTTAGTGGCGATACACCAAAGACTGCGATAGGCAGAGAGCAAAAAGGGTGACTTGCCTGAATTGATCACAAAGACATCAAAGTTTGCTGATTGGTCCATCCAACCCTTGGCTGGTTGGTCCACGTGGATAACTCCCCCGTCTGACACGTATCTCTTGTTCCATGCCACATGGGATAGGAACTGGTGGCTGTGATGCAGAGCATGTGTTGGTTTAAAGATGTGGGGGGAGGAAGAAGGGCAAGGGGCATGCGGGAAGGGTGATTGGGGTGCATCAGATGAGGGAGGATGGGGGCTTGGGAGAGGGTGAGGGAGGTTAGGGAAGGGCGAGCGGGTGAAGGGGAAGAACGAAGGACGATAGCTAGTGATGAATAAAGATGGGACTGAGGAAGGGGCTAATTTTTCCTAGGAAAGGGGCTCAGAAAAAGAAGCAGATGCTGATGCTGACAGCGGCTTGACGCTGCAAGGGTAGAGGTGGGTGGAACTGGTGTGGGCGAGAATGGAGGGAAGGTGAAGGTGGGTGATAGGGAAAGGGTGAGGCTGATAGCTACAAGAGGGAGGGGGAACATGAGGGACAAGGGGAGTGTACTCCACAGAAGAAAGGGTAAGGGGAAATGGAAAGTGCGAGTTTTAAGGAGAACTATCACATGAATATCTCCGTTAAGAGGAATAGGAAACGAGGGTTTTCAGGAGCACCAGGGCAACTCACAAGAAAATTCCGAGAGTGAAGTTGCATTTTGGCCAGAAGTAGATCCGGTCTCTTAACGCGTTCAGCTTCACGACTGGCATGCCTTCAAACGCGTACGTCATGCAGGCCAGCGACTCAAACATGTTCTGGCTCAGCGAGTCGCCAATGAACGCGATGCGACGATTCGCCACACGTTTGCACAAATTCGCCCGCGTCACCTTGGGAATGCCGCCTTCGCAGGAACTCGTTTGCGAAAAAATATCTGGTTCTTCGTTACCACGCCGCGGCGAGACAGTTTCGCGAAGCTTCCAGCGAAGTTTAGCGAAGCCTTTATCCGGCCGGCCGTATTTGCTACACTTGCTGGTTTCGCGCGCGAGAGGACACGCGTCCGTTTCGTACAGCGGCCATGACGAATCCTCTTCCCACGCGCCGTCGTCCAAGGCGCACTGCGATGACGACGACGAGGGCGACTGCGACCCGCCGGCGGCGGCTACATTGCGAACTCGCACGTCCATCCCGTCAGCTTCATACATGTCCGGACGCCCAATGACGCTTGGTATAATGGGTCGAATGACTGTATCCGTCGCGGAGTCGACTTTGACCGGGTTGATTATTACAATACCCGCTGGTGTCTCTAACGCGGTAGCTTGCGCCATATTAGTACGAATGCTCTTCTGTACCTCCTCATTCTCCTGGCCCTGCGCTGTCTGCGGCGCCCTTAGCGACCCTTTCAGCGGCTGCATCTGCTGCGGCGATTGCTGTGCTTCATCTGCTGGCCTCCCTACAACACGGCTTCGAGCCAATTCATTCCGAGGTGCTTCAGAAGGCGCCCTGAAAATCGGTTCAATCGGCGGTCTCTCCAGCACGGTGCCCCGAGATGTCGAAACGCAACGGCTAAGCGAAGCGGCGAGAAGGAAGAGGGAAAGGAAGAGATTAGTAGCAGCTTTACTAGAATTCTCGAAGCTCCCCCGCATGGTACCACTAGAATGGCGACAGTGAAGGTTTGAATGCGACTGTGAGCGTCCTGGGTTAGTTATAGGAGATGAATGCGGCTCGGAGTGGATACGGCTGTCTGTTAGTAACCTACTTATTATCTACTGTCTGTATGTAGCGGGAGCGAATGTGAGTGAGCCATAACTAGCCTACTCCCGCTGATTATTATCAGGGACAACAAACTGAAACGCGTAGTGCGTTGTTTCACATTCCGGATCTGCGGGCTGAAATGGAGGGGCCGGGGATGCGGACTGGAGCACGGAAGGCTGGGCTTAGCGGAGTAGCGACGCCTAAGGGGGTAAGTAGGGAAATGGCTTATGGGTATTTGCGCTCCGCAAGTTACCCAGGCTCATTTTCGTGAATTCGCCTGAGCCATAATGTCGCGAATTGCTTCGCGCCACTGGCGGCCACATGTGTCTGCTGACGGGCTGGTGAGTGTGGGCGGGTGTGGCTGTTGATTTTGATCGCGCTGAGGCGTTTCGACCAGTTGAGGAAAAAGGCGAGGCTTTTGACCGAAAGCTTTTAACGGCTAAGTGTCAGACTCAAGTACAAATTACATTCCCAACTAAGTGTGGCGGTATTCGGTGGTGTGAAGAGCATAGCTAACTGGATTGGTGGGTTTGCCACTGAGAACGCGATACCAGTCAGTAGTGAGAACTGCATCTGGGAACTCGACAAAAGTGTGTTAATGATCAGAGAAGTGACGAGATCCAAAAAGATTGGAGTTGTGATTAACGTAGATTCAAAGGGAGGCTGAAAAGACCGTATTAAGACCAGGTCTTCGATGAAACAAACCTTGAGATGAGGGTATGATTGAAACGTTTTCGCAAACTACAAAACGATATATTTATGAACCTACAAATACCTGGCTTTTCTGACTATAGACTCTCCATATTGTACCCTCTAATATCGACCTTCTGCTGCATATTAGCCTACCACCCTATTGATTCCCGAGTGCCGAGAATGCAGGCGATGCTTGGCAACCAAGGAATGTGCGTGAGGGATGAAATGCGGAATCCAAAATCGAGTATAGAAAGCTGCCGGCTCACCCACGAGACGGGACTCGCGAGACCTGGAATTCCGCTGTGGACAACACATCCCCAAGACCACCATCAACCACCTCACCCCCGAATACTTCAATTTGGTTCAGGACGGTTGGTGCAAACTGGTTTTCAAACTCTACCGATTTAAACCGTGACGCAACCAATCAGACCGCAAAAAAACGCAAAGAAGACGTAACCTCCACCACACCCAACCCAATCCCAAGAACACACAACAACCAAAGCCTGACTACCACATGCAATAACTATCTTCTGTTCTAAGGACGTGGTGCGGAGCGGGTCCAGACCCGGTGCACCGAGGCGTCCCGGGGCGTGCCAGGACGCCCCAGCTCGCCCCGTGGCACGCGTCTCAGTTTCGTGGTAGCCTTCCAAGAGCCGACTTCGAACCTTCGACCAGCAGTGGGCGAAGCGAAAGACTTCGATGCAAATTTCGGCCAAGAATGTTGACATGGTTAACTTTCGCCAAGCTTTTCGTCAAGCAAATTTCGTAATTGATCCATTCCCAATAAGAAGTCGCAATCATCAAACGATTTCATCGAGATCCTCGCAAGACAATTTAGTTAGTAACCAAAATTTCAAGAGTTCGCAAGCCTTTCGAGCATGCTGTGGCGCCCCAGAGCACGCCCCGGGGCGTGCCGGCACGCGTCGGTGCATCGCCTCGTCCCGGCACGCCCTGGGACGAGGCGATGCACCGGGTTCCCGTGTGCCCGGAAGCTTCGAAACCCGGTGCACCGCGGTGTATCGGGGCGTGCCAAGGCGTTTTGCACCACGTCCTAATTTTCTGGCCGGTCTGAGTGGTGCTGCTTGAGAGGATTTGCAGACTCTGTGAAGAGGTGTCACGTGTATTTATCCAGGAGAACTAGACGAAATAATGGATTATCAGGTACTTCAGACATGAAAAAATAGGTGACGCGCGAGACCATTCACTACCTCGTGCTCCTAATGTAATGTCTTCAGCTACTACCTGAAACCTGTTCACCGAAACACTCCAAAGGCTCAATCATGCACCTGGAATAGTACCTGTCTGTCATGCTCACATTTCGCACAACATCGCGTCGCGATGTACTGAGGAACCCACATCAGTGAAAAAAAAAACATACATTGCTAAGATATTTTTATTAACAATACTACTATTTCGACGGCTGTCTCCACAATGAAGCCTCTAAGCGTTCACATGCCGTCGGAATACGTAGAAGACGAGGAACCGTCGCCGGCCTTTCCGCAAACCAGCCTAATCCGTCGAGACCGGGACGACGAGGAGTCCCATTTTGGTAACAACACCAGGGTAGATCCCCCTGAACCGCCGACAAAAGCCTGCCTAATAGGCCTAACGATCTTCGTCTGTCTCTTAGTTATCCTCGCGGTCCTAATCGCCATCTGGGGCTTCAGACCAGCGGCTCCTGCGGCGGGAGATGCGCCGATGCAGGCGGAGGGGAAGCAGGTCGACGCGAGCGCAAATGACGGCGCGACTAGCGGCGGCTCGGGGAGCGCGGAGAACACGGGGAGCGCGGGGAGCACCGGGGGAAACGGCCAGGCTCCCCCGCCGGATCCGCCATTGCATGACTACAAGGCGGCTCTAAAGCTGTGCCTCGATTTCTTCGACGCGCAGAAGAGCGGCGACCTCGCGCTGTGAGTTAAGGCAGACGCTGCGCTGCGAGGTAGACGCGCTGCGAGTGCTGCTAAGTTTTGAGACTGTTCATAAGGCTTTGATATAACAACTAAGATTGCTTCACCGTCTCATCAGGCTTTTCCGTCTGCTCACGTTCCGCTCCCCTCCGCGCCCCTGTTCTCCTGCGTCTTCTCCCACACTTCCCCTCCCCTTGCCCCACAAACTACCCCTTTCCCCACCTTTTCTCCCCTTCCCCAGCACCCCCCACCCCCCTTGGCGCAACAGCTCTCATTTGCAGGACGGGAGCGCAGTGGGGAGAGACCTGGCAGGGGGGTACCGTGGATGGGGAAACAATGAAACAGACGGGGTATCCTTGCAACTTTCTTCCTTACATCTCCTCCATCGGCCTCGCTCATTTCCCCCCTCTTCCAACCCCCCATCCCCTTCACTCCTTTGCTCTCTCTCTCCCTGTTCCCCAGCACCCCGCATCCCGCCTGGCGCAACACCTCTCATGTGCAGGATGGGAGCGCGGTTGGAAGGGATCTGGCAGGGGGGTACTATGTGGATGGGGGGGGAGTGAAGCAGACAGGGCTGACTGCATTCGCTATGAGCATGCTGGCTTGGAGCATTGTGGAGTTCGAGTGAGTGCTTATATGGTGTACGGGGGGTGAGTGAATGGGAAAGGCAATGTGTGATGGTTTATGGTACGGTACTTGATGGTATGGTAATGGTACGGTACGGTACTGTATGGTATGGTACGGTACGGTACGGTATGGTATGGAATGGTACGGTACGGTACGGTATGGTACGGTACGGTACGGTATGGTATGGTATGGTACGGTTCGGTTGACCTGCTCAGATGGGGAAGGGAATGGGCTGGCTGCTTATGGCGGACCTGGGACGGGGCTGTGCCGTGGCTTGCTGTGCTGTGGCTTGCTGTGCGGTGGCTTGCTGTGCTGTGGCTTGCTGTGCTGTGGCTTGCTGTGCTGTGGCTTGCTGTGCTGTGGCTTGCTGTGCTGTGGCTTGCTGTGCTGTGGCTTGCTGTGCTGTGGCTTGCTGTGCTGTGGCTTGCTGTGCCGTGGTGGCGCAAGTGGGTAACTTCTATCCCCCATTCTTCTCTTCCCGTTCTTCCCAGTGCTGACCTTGATGCCACCGGCTGGAAGCAGCGAGCAGTTGATTTGCTCAAATGGGCGTTGATTGGTTACTCATGGGGGATCTGGGCCGGGGCTGTGTGGTGGCGCAAGTGGGTGACTCTGCCTGCCGTCTCCCTTCTTCTCTTACCCCCTCCCCTTCCAGTGCTGAGCTCGATGCAACCGGCTGGAAGCAGCGGGCAGTAGACTTACTCAAATGGGGCGTTGACTGGTTGCTCATGGCGGATCTGGGCCGGGGCTGTGTCGTGGCGCAAGTGGGTGACTCTGCCGCCCAGGACTCATGCTGGCAGCGCCCAGAGGACGACTCTGCTGCCCGGCCCGTGTACACGGTGGTGGGTGCGAACGGACCTGGGCCGCGGCTGTGTGGTGGCTCACACCTCCTCTCCACCCCTTCCCCCTCCCCCTCCCCCCCCCGCCCCTTCCCCTACCAGTACCGAGCTCGAGTCGTCTGGGTTGAAGCAGCGGGCAGTGGATCTACTCAAATGGGGCGTGGACTGGCTGCTCATGGCGGATCTGGGTCGCGGCTGTGTCGTGGCGCAAGTGGGTGACTCTGCCGGCCAGCATTCATGCTGGCAGCGCCCAGAGGACGACTCTGCCGCGCGGCCCGTGTACACGGTGGTGGGCGCCAACGGGCCGGGGGCGGCTGTTCTGGCTGACATGGCTGCTGCGTTCGCTGCTGGTGAGACGTCTCAAAACACTCCGACCTGCCCACACCGCCTTGTTGCGGAATCACTCAGCCTACCCTCCTACTTTCCCTCCTTCCCCTACGTTCCCTCCAATCCCTCACCTTCACCCCTCCTCCCCTTCCACCCATCACCCCAGCCTCGCATGTGTTCGGCGAGTTTGACCCCGGATATGCCGCTACGCTGAGGGACCATGCCACCATGCTCTTTGAACTCGCCAACACCGCTACCTCGACCGATGAGTGAGCTTCCTGCCCCTTTGACTCTCTGCCTTTCAGTCTCTCTACCTCCCAATGCTCCCCTCCTTCACATTCACCCACCCACCATACACCACCACGCCACCATGCTCTCTGAACTCGCCACCACCGCCCTCCACTGATGAGTGAGCGGCTTCCCTTCTGCCTGCCCTTCTGCCTGCCCTTCTGCCTGCCCTTCTGCCTGCCCTTCTGCCTGCCCTTCTGCCTGCCCTTCTGCCTGCCCTTCTGCCTGCCCTTCTGCCTGCCCTTCTGCCTGCCTCTCTGCCTACTCCTCGCCACTCACCATGCCACCATGCTTTTTGAACTCGCCATCACCACCACCTCAACCGATGAGTGAGCTTCCTGCCTCTCTGCCTCTCTGCCTCTCTGCCTCTCTGCCTCTCTGCCTCTCTGCCTCTCTGCCTCTCTGCCTCTCTGCCTCTCTGCCTCTCTGCCTCTCTTCAGGCTCTGTACTTCTCAATGTTCCCCTCCTTCACATTCACCCACCCACCATGCTCCCGACCATGCTCTTTGAACTCGCCACCACCGCCACCTCCACCGGTGAGTGAGTGAGCTGCCCCTATCTTGCCCCTCTGCCTGCCTTTGTGCCCCCGTTCCCTCTCGCCATGCATTACCCCACCATGCTTTTTGAACTCGCCACCTCCACCACCTCCACCGATGAGTGCGCTTCCCTTTTGCCTGCCTCTGCCTCTTTGCTCTTGCTCAAGGCTCATTCTCCTGCTTAAGTTTCACACTCCTTGCTAAGGCTCAAGGCTCAAGGCTCTGGGCGGTTGCTTGGCTCAAGGCCCACGCTGCTGTAATCTTCCTTTATGGCGGCATGCTCATGCCCTTGCCAGCTTTTTGCTCCCTTCTCCCTTGCCCGTCTCACCCCCACCAGCATGGCCCTGCCAGGGACTCTCCCCTACGAGCCACCCACGTCCTCCTCGCCTAACTTTCAAGACGAGCTGCTCTGGGCGGCAGAACAGTTAAAGCCTAATGCCATTGCAACTTGCTTTCTACTCCCATGTCTCTCCCCCACCCCACCAGCGCGGCTCTGCCTGGCACTCTCCCCTACCAGCCACCCCCGTCCTCCTCGCCTGACTCTCAAAACGAGCTGCTCTGGGCGGAAGCAGGGTTAAAACATAATGCCATTGCAACTTGCATACCATTCCCACGTCCCTCCCCCACCCCACCAGCGCCGCCCTGCCAGGCACTCTCCCCTACCAGCCACCCCCATCCTCCTCGCCTGACTTTCAAGACGAGCTGCTCTGGGCGGTGGCATGGCTATGGCGCACCACCATGTCTGACGCCCTGCACCAATACCTGCTCAAGGTGAGTCCTTATTTTTAGCTCCCATCCTAGCTGCTGCTACCCCCACTGCTGCAGCGGTGCCTACCTCAAGTGCAACTGCCGTGGCTATGGCGCACCACCATGTCAGGACTCCCAGCACCAGTACCTGCTCAAGGTGAGTCACCTTGCCGCCTGTTGTAATCGAATGTTGGATTCCAATGTTTCTCCTGCTACAGGCTGTGCCCAATGCTGCTGGCATGGCTATGGCGCACCACCATGTCCGACGCCCTGCACCAGTACCTGCTCAAGGTGGGTTGTCTTCCCGTCTGCTGCTAACCTGCTTTCCCGACTGCCACTGCAGTGTCTGTGTCAAATGCTGCTGGCATGGCTATGGCGCACCACCCTGTCCGACTCCCTGCTCCAGGTACCTGCTGGGACCCATGGAGGAGGAGGACGAGGCCACCACACAGGCACACAGGCGTATGGGTTCTGAGTCATCACTAAACCCTTCCCAACCCAACCCGTCAGCCCCAGCTAGATTCACTCCCCTATACTCTCGCCTTCACTCACACCAACAAGGCAGCCGGAGCAGCAGTGCTGCTGGCGACGTTCGTTTTGGGGCCCATGGAGGAGGAGGAGGACGAGGCCACCACACAGGCAGCACCACAACCCGCCCACTCACTCTCCTCCCGTTTCACCAACCCCAAACCTTGAAGTACGAGGTTGAGGCATCTCAAAACTCTCCCTTGTCCCCTCCCCCCCACCCACCCTGCCCCATCAGCCCCAGCTAGATTCACTCCCCTACTCGCTCGCCTTCACTCACGCTAATAAAGCATCAGGAGCAGCAGTGCTGCTGGCGACGTTTGTGTTGGGACCCATGGAGGAGGAGGACGAGGCCACCACACAGGCATCTGGTGCTGACGTCATCTTCAGATTCCAGAAGCTCGTGGAAGCTTCCCTCTGTGCTTCCATGGCTGACGTGCCGTCCAAGACCAGCGCTGAGACGTTGGAGCAAAGCATGCCTCGCACGCAGGGTAAGTTATTTGGGGGATTGCATGCATTTCTCACTGCTGATGTGCCGTGCCGTCCTGGACCAGTGCTGAGACTCTGAAGCAAAGCATGCCCCGCACGCAAGGTACAAACCTTGTTTCATGAAGCTCAGGGTATGAAGCTCAAACTGTAAAGCTCGTGGAAGCTTCTCTCTGTGCTTCCATGGCTGACGTTCTGTCCAAGACCAGTGCTGAGGACCTGGAGCAAAGCTTGCCCCGCACCCAGGGTAAGTTTTTTGGGGGATTGCACGCATTTCTCACAACCTACTCCCAAGTCCTTCCCTGTGCTCCCCGCCCTCTCCCCTTCACATTTAACCACCCACCAGGTGGAATGATAGCAGAATGCTATGGCTGGAACAGAATGATCCAATGCACGCAGCAGTGCACGCGGCCTTCCTTCCCCGCATCTCCATGTTGCTCCCACCTCCTCCTACACTCATCGCGCATCACTAGGCAGCCTGCTCTGGCTGAACCAATGACATAGCGTCTCTTCGAACGAGGTACTATCATTCCCTTACTTTTCCTCCTTGCCCATTCCCTCCTTCCATACAACCCTTATCAGGCGGGTTGCTATGGCTGGACCAGACCGAGCCAATGCATGCAGCAGTGCAAGCAGCTTTTCTTCTCAAAACCTACTCGCGCTTTCTCAAGGAGGGCGCAGAGGACGAGGGGAAGTGCGCTGGTGTGTCACCACGTGCCGTGTCCGCCCTTGCACGGTCGCAGGTGGGTGCAGAACATACGTGAGGTGAGACTGCATGCGGCAGTGCAAGCTGCCTTTCTTCTCAAAGCCTACTCTTGCTTCCTCAAGGAGGGCGCAGAGGACGAGGGGCGGTGCGCCGGCGTGTCACCACGTGCTGTGTCTGCCCTCGCACGGTCACAGGTGCGTGCAACAATTAAGTTCAGGCCTACTCCAACACTCTTGCTTTCTCAAGGAGGGCGCAGAGCACGAGGGGCAGTGCACCACGTGCCGTGTCAGCACTCGCACGGTCGCTGGTGAGTTCAGGAATTGGACTTATAGCACAGAGCGCTGTTGAGTCGCCACGTGCTTGTGTGTGTGTGTGTGTGTGTGTGTGTGTGTGTGTGCGTGCGTGCGTGCGTGCGTGCGTGCGTGCGTGCGTGCGTGTGTGTGTGTGCGCGCGCGCGCGCGCGCGCGTGTGTTTATTTCTTTATTAATTCATTCATTCAACGGGGTGGATGAACATTTCTGTATAGCTTATGTGTTATGATGCTCTGTTTGCGTTCTGTCCTTTTGTCTGCAAACAATTCTGTATCTTAATCTCTGTCTTTCAGATTGACTATCTTCTAGGGTCTAATCCGCAACAGCTCAGCTACATGGTGGGCTTTGGAGAGAAATACCCCAAGTTTGTCCGCCATCGAGGAGCGTCGATTCCATCCGTGGCATCTGATCCAGCGGTGTACACATGCACATCGGGTCAACAATGGCTGCAAAGCACCTCGCCCAACCCCAACATACTCTCAGGTGCACAGCGCAGTGGATTACTGTGATTATGTGATACTTATATTCTGCAACGATATATTTTATTCCTGTTGCCATTGTTGGATGGTCCGCATGATGTTAACTGTTACGTACACTATGTTTTGGTATTTGCCGTGTCCAGGAGCTGTGATGGGAGGGCCGGACCATGACGACAAATTCAATGACTCCAGAGACAACCGCCTGAACGAGCCTGCTATTTATATAAATGCCGCCCTCGTAGGCGTGCTTGCTTCATTAAGTGGTTCATAACGAGTGGGAAGTATGATCGTGCACTCATGGATGACATCCGTCCTTCCACATACAGTGGGTGCCATTTGTATATCAATACAGCAAAGTGCAACATTCCACCCAAATAACCAACCACTAGTGTGTTCTCTAAATTTATATGTGATATAGTTTCACCCATAAGATCCTATCAATTAATAAATCAATGTAGTCATTGCGTGGTCATGCCCTTACGGGTACGTACTGGATAGGTCACTACACCGTTCTTTTTCCGTTGCTTCAGGCCAAACCACAACACCTCACAAATGCGGCGGTTTGGTGGTAGTTCGTACGGTCTAGAGCGGTCTAGTTTCTATCTAGAATGGTTAGGTCTGGCGCAGATATGCGTTGGCACGCCCAGCAGGTCCAATTCTTCCTTCACAGTGCAGATGAGTTTGACGTAGGAAAGATGGAGAAACGCTCCAGACCGCACGGCATCGTATTTAACCGCTCAAATCCCTATTGGCACTGACTGCTCAGCACTGGCTCACACACACTTCATCACCCTCACTCGCGGCATAGCTGCTTCCACACTCTCCCACTTGCGCGTCGCGCGCTTGCTCCCTCCACTTCTTGTTGCTTCACTGGTTGCCTCACGCAGCCATGGCTGCCGAAACAAAGCAGCAAGTGGCAGGAGGTGCGTATGGCTGCGAGGCCAACCTTCAGCTGTTGGACCCTTCTAAGTCTAGGGGTTTTGGAGTCTATACGGCTGATCGGAGAGCCGCATTGTGTGTCACTTCTACAACAAGCCATAATCAACTTCGATGTCAGTGTGCTGTGCACGTGTACTTCGTTCACGCAATGCGCAAGTCAACGTATCTCAAAAGCTCAAGCCGCCTCTGTTGCTCTCGCCTGCTCTCGAAAGTACTTTTCCGCGCCTCGCCGTTTCCGCGACTCGTTTGTTGGTGAATCTCTTCCCTCCACAATACGTACTCGCAAACTTCTCCTTACATCTAATCGGCGTGCCACGGCTTTGACTTTTCCATCGCCCTTCTTCTTGCGCCTGAAACGATTTCGACACCGCGGCACACATTTCCACGCGAGACACCCCTCTTCCCGCTTCGCCCAGGCTCACCCAGGTTCGCGTCGAGTGACCTTCGCATCGTCGTCCGACAAATACGATAAGACGCCTTTCCCAGCTTGGCCACTCCTGTAGTCTCTACAGCAAAAGGAAAGGTGGCTAGTAGCGCGCCATCATAATAGCAGTGCATTATACGCTGTTCAGCGCAGTGCATCTACGCTTCTGGAAGGCTTATAAAAGACCCTCCTACACATCAGCGGCCCTCTCGACTGGTGGAAACAACAAACAGTCTCTCTCCTCGTTACAATGATTGAACGTTTATCACCCTCCTCTTCACCACCCCTTTCCTCATCCTCCTCCTCCTCCTCCTCCTCCTCCCCTGCTCGTCCTTTCCACGGCGGTCCTCCTCGCACAATTCCAGAAGACGGCCAATCGGCTCCCACTGGCGATGCTCTTCGCAAATCTTCGCAATCTTCGTCGCTGCTGTTTTCGTTCGTGCGACAAGGGGGGGACAGGATTCGCGAAGGAGCCTGATTGGCCACGACCAGTCGTCTCAGGTGCCGGCAACGGTTCTATTATCGCCAGATCCGGTCTTTCCTAACGTGCTGGGTCGCATCAAGCTTTACGAAGAGGACGGAATGAGCAGCCAATCAAATCTCGCGGCGAACTCTGCGAAGTCGCAGCAACAAGTCTCATCGTCGCAACTGTCGTCGAAACCGGCGCAAACGTCGCCGTCGGCGCCATCGGCGTGCGATCTGGAGGATGGGTCGTGGGAGGTTGACGATTCGTGGCCACTCTACCAATCAGAGAGCTGTCCGTTCGCGCGGGAAGAAACGATGTGCGCGAAATACGGGAAACCTAACTTGGACTACGCGAAGTTGAGATGGGTACTGAGTGGCGAAAGTGGTAACCCTGATGGCGGTTCTGGCGACACCAGCGAAAAATGCTCAGTTCCAAAAATCAAGGGTTCGAATCTCTGCAAACGCGTCGCAGGGCACCGCATAGCGTTCGTGGGCGATTCGTTGTCGCAAAACGCGTTTGAGTCAATGGCGTGTCTGATACACCGATTCTCGGGAATGCCGGAAGTTCGTCTGAACAATCACCGTGACCGCGTGTACCACTGGCACCAGTGCAACTTCACAATCGCGTTCTCCTTGTAAGCAGACCCGATATGCCTTGTGTCACCCCCATGCCTTCTCCTCGTGTCAACGTGCTTCCTCCACAATTTGTGTGCGTCCTTCCATCTTCCTCTCCTCCAACGCTTCTGCCATTGCCCCTTCATACCCTTTTGCCCACATTTGCTTCCCTTCCCTCCCTCCTTCCCCCATTGCCTTCCGCTTGGCCCTGTGCTCCATCTTTACTTCTCTTTCTCCCTCCATCCCTCCCATTCAGAATCCGAACTCTTCCAATTCCCCCCTGCGCCCCTCCCTCCTCTCTCCCCCTGTCTCCCCCTAGTCTTTTTGCTCATCGTCCCCTTTCCCATTCTCCCCTTCCATTTTCCCTCTCTGCGACTTTGCAGCCACCAGTTTCTGTCCGAGGTCGCATGGAACAAGGTCAAGGTGTCAGACGGAGGTGCTATCCTGCTGGACCAATCAGGGAAGAGATGGACGAAGCACATTAAAGCCTTCAACACGTTCGTTATCAACTCAGGTAATGAAGCAACTACCAAGCTACACACTGAAGCAATCACTGATGCAATCACTATGGCAGCCGCCAAAGCAATCGCCAACGTAATCACAAGAACAATCACAGTAGCGCCCTCTGCAGACTAAGCACTCAAATGCGCTATGGATCAGTACCACCACGTGGGGAGATGGTCTGTCTTCATGTCTGATTGTACTAAGCACCTGGCTTGCTCAACTCCCACTCATCCGTCATATCTTTAACAATCTCCTCATATCTCCCATCACATCCCGCAAGCACTTGTAGTATCTCCCAGTCACTCCTCATATCTTCCACACACACCTCAAATCTCCTACACACTCATCGTACCACTCACACTCCAAGCACGTATCATAACAACCACATTTTTTACAGGACCTTATTTCCCACGCATCCCGCATCGCTCTCGACGCACTTCACATGTCCCATCACCCCTCTCCTGTCCTTTGCTTTCAGCCGTTTTTTCTTTTCCCTCCCTTCCTCTATCCGCTTCTCGTTTTTTGCACGTCAAGTATAGTTTGGTTCCTGCAGTTCCCATCTTCCTGCCTTCATGTTTCCTTTGCCCGCCCTTCCCTCCCTGGTTACCCAACAGGCCATTGGTGGTCGGAACGTCAACTCGCCCGTTACAACATCACCCTGGCACCTCCGTACAAATCGCTCCACTATCTTCTCGCATATCGCCGCGCCCTCAACCAAACCCTCTCCGAGTTTCTACACCCAGAGCTTGCTAATAAACAGGTTTTCTTCACCACGTCTGCCCCGTCCCATGACGTTCATGGTCTCTGCCCGGAAAAAAATATTGTCAAGAAAACCGACACGAAGCGGTTCAAGAGGATGCGACTCCCTTGGACAGTTGAAAAGAATAAAGTTTTAGTCGACGTTGTTCGGGGGTTTGAGGAGAAGCAAGCACAAGCAGCGGAAGGGTTTGGGGGCGCGAGAATAAAGCTCGTAGACATGTACAACGTGACGCTCTATAGGCAAGAGGCGCACCCGTCGACGTTCAATGCGAGGGGTAACTGGGACTGCCTGCACTACTGCCTGCCGGGGGTGCCTGACTCATGGAATGAGATACTTCTGTGGCAGATAGAGGCCGAAAATCATAGAACCCCAGGAGCTTTCACTGTGTAATGTGAGACATGCTGTATATTCAGATGGTAAACCATCCGACCAACATTAATAGGACAATAAAATGGAGATTGAATGGAGGCACAATAAGTGCAAAAACCTGGTGAGTGTATATTCATGTATGGCCTGCGTGCCTATCATGCCTGAGTGCTTTCGCGGATTAAGATGCGCATTTTCATCAGAAATCGTGAAATTTCTGATCTGAGCCCAGACCGGAGCCGCAGGTTCCCGTAAAACCGTAGACCCTTCGGGCAGGCTTTCTATTTTGGCCCCACAAACCAAACGGCTGGCTGGTCGGTTATTGCCCCAGCAGTCAGTTGAGTTGAGTCTTGCCCCTGAACCGCTCCTGATGGTCTAGGGAAAAACTGCCGCCCCAAAAGGAATTGGGGATCGTAGCATCAGGTGCCAGCAATCTTGAGCGAGCTAGAAAACTTCGGCGGAACGCTAGCAATCTGTGTGGCAGTAACGGCGGGTTCATCGGCACTCAGCGTATATCCGCGTCGCATCGCGTCATCAGTGCATATCAGGGCAGCTCGCCGTTGACTAAGATGGTGGTTAGTCGGCGTCTATTCGATTCTCGAAGCAGCTGTGCATCAGCGCAAGACGCGCAAGCTGAAATGGTGCTCGGCTTATCTGTGTGTGCATCATCCGCGGAAGACACGCTGGTCCACGAATTTCGAGGGCGGTCCGTATTTCTACAACAGCTGTTAGACCAAAAATATGTCATCAACGGAACTTGCCGTCACTACCGTAGTGGTGACTACAAAAGGAAGGTCAGCCATGGGCGGAGCGTCACTCGGAGTATCCTATGAGTCTCGTGCCTCGTTTTTTCTCGGCGTCTCTGATATCGTCCGTTGTCGTAGCCATGGCTCTGCCTTTAAGTGCCTCCTCTCGAAAGTTGCTACCCAGTTCCAGGACTTCTCGTTCGCATTGTTCGCAAATATTCGCAGTTTTCGTCACTGCGTTGTTCATCCGTGCGACAAACGGCGGGCATGATTCGCGAAAGAGCCTCAACAGCCACGGCGACCAGGCGATAATTCGGGAGCCTCCGACGCTTCTGTCGCCTGATTCGGTCCTTCCTACTACATATGATTCGGTTCTAAGTAGTAGTACTAAGGTGCTGGGCCGCTTAGAGCTTTACGAGGAGGACGGAATGAGGATCGCATCAGAGCCTCAGCTCACGGCTCGCGGTGCGACATCGCAGCAACAACTATCAGAGTCGTCGCCGTCGCCAGCGTGCGATCTGGACGATGGGTCGTGGGAGGTTGACGACTCGTGGCCGCTCTACCTATCAGAGAGCTGTCCGTTCGCGCGAGAAGAAACGATGTGCGCGAAATATGGACGAACAAATTCAGACTACGCGAAGCTGAGATGGGTGCTGGCTGGCGAACGTGGTAACCCTAGCAGAGGCACTGCCGAAGACACAACTGGAGATGGCGAAAAGTGCTCAATTCCAAAGATCACGGGTTCAAATCTGTGCAGACGCGTTGCAGGTCATCGAATTGCGTTCGTGGGAGATTCGTTATCGCAAAACGCGTTTGAGTCAATGGCGTGTCTGATGCACCGATTTTTCGGAATGCCGGAAGTGCTGCTGCAGAATCATTATCACAGGGATCGCATGTACCACTGGCCTCGGTGCAACTTCACCATCCTGTTCTCATTGTAAGAAGACCCGATGATCCTATCTTGCAACCATCCCCTTCTGTACCTCCATCTCCTCTCCCTCCTCCATCCTACCCCCCAAACCCCCCTTCATTGATCATCGTGTTCTCCTCACAATAACAAGATGATTTCGCCTACCGGGATTTGAAGCCAACCTGTTTGAGATGGCAGGATTAAGGTCCTCTTAATTGCAGCCAGCTCCCTTTCCCCTCCTGCCTCCCTCTAGTATTTCCTCTCATTCTTCCCTTCCCCATTCCCCTCCTCCCCGTTTTTTCCGTTCCCTGAAACTGCAGCCACCAGTTTCTGTCCGAGGTGGCATGGAACAAGGTGGAGGTGTCAGACGGAGGGGCCATCCAGCTGGACCAATCAGGGAGGAGATGGACAACCCATATTAAAGGATTTAACACTTTTGTTATCAACTCAGGTACGGAAATTTGCTTTGCTTGTATCACCAACCGAAAAGGAGAGGACGTAGTGGTTGGGAGGAACTGAGATCGTTCAAGGTTCCACACACTCCCAGGATGTTTCGCACCACTCCACCACAGTTCATTCCTCTCATGCTTCCGTTTTCAGTTCTTGCAACTTCCCCTTTCGCCACATGAACCTCGCACCCAATTCCTAAATCATGCTGTCATGTGCCGTAAATCCCTCTTTGTCCTTCTCTGCGCTATTGTCTACAGGCCACTGGTGGTCGAAGAGACAACTGTCCCGCTACAACATTACGCTTGCATCACCATACGAATCCCTTCACTTTCTTGAAGCGTATCGCCATGCCCTCAACAGAACCCTCTCCGAGTTTCTACACCCAGAACTCGTTAACAAGCAGGTCTTCGTCACGACCTCTGCCCCTTCTCACGACATTCGAGGCATATGCCCCGAAAAGAAAGTGATCAAGAGGGGCGACAATAAGCGACTGAACCAGGTGCGGCACCCATGGACGGTGGAAAAGAACAACATACTGATAAGTATGGTTTGGGGGTTCGAGGAGAAGCAAGTGCAAGGTGCAAAGGGATACCAAGGAGCAAGATTAAAGCTCTTGGACATGTACAATGTCACCCTGTATAGGCAAGAGGCGCACCCTTGGACAGACAATGCACGGCATAATTGGGACTGCCTGCATTATTGCCTTCCGGGAGTGCCTGATGCGTGGAATGAGATTCTGCTCTGGCAGATGGAGGCTGGAAAGCGCAACACGTGGAAGTCATCAACTGTTAATATGTAGCTTGGTGCATGGGGGTGAAATAGTATTATGCATACTGTGAACGCTACCTTGGGTATTGTAACATCTGTTGGAATAGCCGCATTTAGCACCCACTCAACGTTGAAGCCAAGCATCTAGCAGCATGCGGTTTGCTGATTATTGGAATGTTGCAGCAGCTTAACAAAATCATGTTTAGCTTATGGCGAGACGTTTGTTACATTCTTTCTCGCTTTCCGTATCGCATCTAGATCTGAGCTGTTCGCGGCGAGTCCAAGGGGCCGCAGCATCAGCAACTCGGGCCACATATTTCTGACAGCCCCCCCCCTGACCGAACGATCTAGGGCAAACCCAAACCCAAGGCCGGCTCGGGTCGTGTCAGTGTCACCGTCACAACACCATCCAGTCATGTTCGGTGAGTTCGATGGTGATGTTCGGTGTTGTACAATCTGTAGCGGTTCACACTTTTTCTTCACTTTGAGGCTCTTCGCTTTTCCGTTTCTTTCAGGCTTCTTTGGATGTGCCATGACCTGTGGGGACAAACCCACCAATCATGACCAGCGGTAAGCCAGCAGGCTAGGAGGCACCGTATGACAGCATGACATACATTAGCAGCATATCCTTTCCATGCTATTTATGTACGGTCTCCCCCCTTTAGCGTTTTCTCCTCCTGGCTGTCCTGTTTCTTGGAAAAGTAGGCGGGGTGCACGCACAAAATGAGCTAGGTTGTAGATCAACATATTAGGTCTTTATTATTCTGGCGTAGGTCACTGCTCAGGATTCCCCAGCGAAAAACTGTAAAGCTGCTTGCGCTTTTCAACAACTTCATTCGAATAGTGTTCCAGCGGTCAAAGTCCATGTCCGTTTTGGATAGTATACGCGTCTGTGATTCGTTATTGTCGTGCACTATCGTTAACGACGTGGAGAAGATGCATTCTCTTAGTGTATACATTTCAACGGTGCGACGCTCGAGTAAGGTAGAAAGCAGATAATAATTATCTCGCAGAACCCACCGAACTCTGCCAGCAAGAGCTCGTCAATGGAGCGACGATCCAGGATGAGAGAAGCCATGGCGGAAGGCTTCAGAGAAGCCAAGGCGTGGGTCCAGAGCCGGCCCGAAGTCATCAAAGCAGGCTGTCTCGCCTTAGCTCTCGCGCTTTTATTCATAATCTACGCTCCCGCGTTCTTCTTCGGGTTGCTCGTCGGTGCTTCTGCCGTGATCGGCGGCGAGGTCATTCTCCTGAAGCATCTGTGGAGGAAGATTCGTCCTCCGAAGAAGGAAGGTTCTGAAGCGGGGAATGCGCCTGCGCCGGATCCTGTGCCTGAGGACCTTCTGGAAACAACTTCGATGTTGAAAGAGGTTCGTTTATAGTTACGAATTCCAGTGGAATATATGATACATTCTCTCCCATCCTCTCATGATACGTTCTAAGTTGTTGGAGCCTCGTTGCAGGATCTTCCTCGGCCAGACGAGCTTCTGCAATTACCTCGGTTCTCAAGGAAATACGTTCGTTTCCATTGAATGACCTAATTGCGTGAAAAGATCCAAGCTCAATGCCGAGCGGAGACCTTTTATGCTGATCAGCATTAAACTGGCCGCCAGAACCCTTCCTTGTCGATCCCTTCGTCAGATATTGTCAGTCACCCTAGCTGGTTACCCTGCTAGTGAAGATAGCGTACGATGTACCTGTTTCCCAATGGCCGTGCATGCGAGACGGATGAGGGAAGCCGGGGTCCAACAATCACTGCTCTTACCTTCTCATCCCTGCCCCGCAAATTCGACGGACCTGAATCTGGCGTGTATTTGAATAATCATCTTCTTCGCCTTCTCATTCAAGCCTGCCTTTGTCCCCCCTGCGAGGTGCACAGAGCGTGGCATGGGTTTCCCTCAGACCATGCGAGGCAGACGAGGGCAAGACCGGTTCAGGCAAGCTGCGCAAGAACGTGAAGCTGTTCTCTCCATTGCTGCGCCTGGCGACTCTGGAGGTGGAGGAGCGAGTGCTGGTGCTGGCAGGCAGCCAAGGCGAGTCAGAGACGATCCCTCTGGATGGGTGCGATGTGAAGAGCTTCTCAGAGACCAGCGGGCCAGAGAAACGCTGGTGAGATGGGGAGGGTGAGAGGGAGAATGATTGGGGAGTGAGTGGGGAGTGCGTGAGGAATGAGTGGGAAGTGGTGGACAGGAGAATGAGTGTAGAATGGTGGAGTGAGAATGAGTGTAGAATGGTGGAGAGCGGTGCTGTTGCATTGTCCTCTGCCCTGTCCAATCAATCCACTTCCCTTTCACCTCCCTACCTGTTTCCCTCTACCCCACCCCTCTCTCCCCACGTTCTCTCTCTCTCCTCCTCACAGGGCGCGCAAGTTCCCCATGCGCATCAGCCACCCGTTCCACATCCTCTTTCAAAACGCCAGGGAGTTTTTCATCTACTTTTCAAACGGCCCCCCTCCTTTCCCCACTTCCCCCTCTCCCCTCACAGGGCTCGCAAGTTCCCCATTCGCATCAGCCACCCGTCCCGCGTCCTCTTTCAAAACGCCAGGGAGTTTTTCATCTACTTCCCCAATGGCCGCGTGAAGCAGGCCTGGTGCCGAGCCTTGCGCGCCGCAGCCTTCCCCGAATCTGAGGACACCCTCTGGCAGGTTCGGGTCTCCCAAGCCTATGCCGTCTACCTCGGAAAGATCCGAGCCTCGCGCCCGGATCTGTGGGTGAATGTGGAGGCTACGGAACTGGAGGGCGGGGGGGAGGATGCGCGGGGGGAGGGGGAGGGCGGGGGGAAGACTGGGCGGTGGGGGGAGGGGAGGATGGGACAGAGAAAGTGGCTGAGAAAAATACGGACAAAGCAGGGAGGGGGAATGGGGCCCAGGAGTGGCAGTGGAGGTGGGGGAACTTGGGTGACAGGAGGGGGAGGAGGAGGCGTATGGGGGGGAGGAGGAGGAGGCGCGACAGGGGCAGGAACAGGGGGAGGGGGAGGGGGAGCAGCAGGGACGATGACTGGGGAGGATTCCAGTGGGGAGGGGGGGCTGTGGGGAAGCTTTAGCATGAGCTCTTGGAGTAGTGGCAGTGCGAGTGGGGGAGGTAGCGGCTGGGGTGTACGGAGCGGCAGCTTCGGCACTGCAGGCTCGGAGGGGTCGTTGCTCCGGCCGCCGAACCTGAAGGCTTTGTTCAGGAAGGAGCAGAATCTACTGCAGCAGCCGATGGTGCAGGGTCAGAGAGCGATGCTGCCCCTTCCTGCGCCTCCAGTGGTTAGTACTGCTTCCATGCATGCAGCAGTAGCACAATTACAGCAGCAGCATCAGCAGCACCAGCACCAGCACCAGCAGCAGCAGCACCACCAGCAACATGGGGACCTCCCCCCTCTGCCAGCCATCCCCTCTGGTCGCTCCCTGCAGTGTTCCCAATCCATTGCATCAGATGCTGCTACTACCGCTGCCGCTGGTCCTGGCACCGGATGGATTGGTGGGGCGGGTAGCTTTGGGGTTAGTAGCAGCATTGGTAGCAGCTGTGGTGATCCTGCTGGCAGTGCTGGCGGTGGTGGCGCTGGTGGCGCTGGTGCTAGTGGCAATGCTGAGGCTGGTGGTGCTGGGGGGGGATGGGAGGACGGTGCAGCAGGGGAGGAGAGCTCTCTATGGGCTTTCAAGCGCAGCCACACGGACACATCTGTGCGTCATCGGCCGAGAATCTGCAGTGCTGAAACAACCAGCACCAGCAGCAGTGTGCATTCCTCTAGTGCTGTTCCCTCTGGAATCAACTCGTGTGGGATCATTCACACGGGGACAAGGTCATCAGGAATCAACTCATCAGGAGTCAACACATCAGGAGTCAACTCAGTAGGAATTGGTTCAGTGGGAAGTAACCTGTCTGGATTCAGCCTGTCAGGAGTGAATCTGTCTGGGGTGAACCTGCCTGGTGTCAACTCGTCTGCGGTCAGCCCGTGTGGAGTGAGGAAGAGGGGGCATGGGGAGCGAGTACAGCAGCTGGAAGGAGTGGCAGAAGGGGCTGACGCACCTTTTGACAGCCCTTTTCCCTCGTCACTTTCAGATTCTTCAGCAGCAAGGGGGGTAGGAGCAGCAGGAGCAGCAGGAGCAGCACTGGCAGCGGGAGCAGGGGGGGCAGCAGCAGCGGCGGCGGCGGCGGCAGCAGTGGATGAGAGTGCGGAGGAGAGTGGGCCGTGGATGTTCAGCGGGCCTGTGACCCAGGCAGAGGCTGCAGCAGCCGCCGCCGCCATTGAAATGGCCCACAGAGCGCCCGTGTCACACGGCGCATTTGGGCAGGTGGACGGGCAGGTGAATGGTCAGGTGGGCGGTCAGGTGGACGGGCTTAGTGCGCCAGGTGCCAGTGGCATTTTGCCCGACCCTAGTAGTGACCCTGGTGGTGGCCAGTCGTTGAGCCAGCAGCAGCATCGGGGGCCCTGGGGCACAGTACTGTCTGGCCAGCCCCCCACTCGCCCTCCTGCTGCTCCTCTTGCCAGCACTGCTCCTGATGACGCTGCTGCCACTGATGCTAACCCTGCTGCTGCTGCGGGTGCTGCTGCTGGTGGTGCTGGTGAGAGTGGCGGTGGTGGTGTGGGGGGAAGCAGTGGGGAGCCAGAGGCAGCAGTGCAGTGGGCGAATGCGCTGCTGTGCCGTCTCTACTTTGACCTTTCACAGGAGGACGCGCTTAGCAAGAAGCTCCAGGCCAAGTTCTCTGTACGTGTCGAAAAAGATCTAGATACATGCCAGCAAAGGTTTAGGTTATTCATCTATGAAGTCCGTTCTTCTGCCCCCTTCTCCCATACCCATGTCTCATGCGCCATCCCCCCCAACCCCCATGCCTCCAGGAGAAGCTGTCGCTAGTCATCACGCCATCCATCATGGGTCCCATCTCCTGCACCAAGCTATCGCTCGGCCCCATCCCTCCTCTCATTCGCTCCATGCGCACAGTCAACCTCGCCATGCCAGGTAAACATGCATTGCCACGTGCCTGTGCTCATGCATGTTATCTCCTGTATGCCATGCGGCCCCATCCCTCCTCTGCTCGCAGTTCCAGGTGTGCCCACATTGCCTCTACCATTCTTCTCCATATCAATCCTTCCTCCTTCGCTCATCGTCCCCCATCCCCCTTCTACACTCGTTCTCCCCAACCTTCGTCCTTATTCACCTTCAACAGCAAATCAATGCACCTCAAAAAAAATCTCCTCTCTTTGTTTACTACCCTTCCATCTCCTCTCCTTACTAGGGGGCGATCTTGCCCTAGATGTGGATCTGGAGTTTAAGGGAGCAGCCACCATGACGATAGAGACCAGCATTGATATGCGAGAGACACAGTTTCTCAAAATGTGGGAAGAACGGGACCTTTCCCGGGCAGAAAAAGAGTCCGAGAGGAGTAAGGAGTATTCTGGGCAGGTGGAAAACACTCCGTTGACCGCAGGCGCAGAACCGGGTCCTTCTGACGGTTCGGCAGGAGCTTCGGCAGGTGCAGGACTAGGCCCGGATGGAGCAGGTTCGGCCGGACCTGGAGCCAGACCTGAGCGGCTGGGTCGGCGAGGGTCGGGCGCGGGAGATGCGCTGATGAGTGACGAAATCGCTGCTGCTCTGGTGGGGGATATGGAGGTGGCTGAAGATGTGACTATAGAGGGCGCTGCTACAGCCCCTGCTACACCTGCCAAGAGCACGCCAACCAAAGCAGGCAGAAAGAGGAATATCATTCGAGGGGTGCGAGGCATGGTAACCAACATGGCCAACAGCCTTTCCCAGGTGAGCCTCTAATCAGTCTTCCCCAGGTGTTAATGCTCACTCTCTCTTCCTATACGAGGGTGCGGGGCATGGTCACCAGCATAGCCAATAGCCTCTCGCGGGTGGGTCTTTTTCTTGTCAAACGAGACTTTTCTTATCAGGTAAGCCTTCCTCAGGTAAGCCTCCTACTTTTTCATCAACCCCTTCGTCCCCCCAACTCCTCCCACTCTCCTTCCCCATCCCCTCCCCTTCCCCTCCTCACTCTTCAGGTCCCTCTCACTCTCTCCTTCAACATCACATCTGTTAAAGGCACGCTGCGCATCCGAGTGCCCGCCCCGCCCTCTGACCGCCTCTGGATGTCGTTCGTTGAGATGCCAGAGATCGAGATGCAATCCACACCGTCCATTGGCGATATTAAACTCAAGCGCTACCCCATGGCCACACTCCTGATTGAGAAGCTCAAGGTGGGTGGGAATGGCTTGCTCTTAGGCTGGGTGGGTGGTGCGAAGCTCAAGCACTACCCGATGGCCACGCCCCTGATCGAAATGCTCAAGGTGCATGGTGCATGGTTGTTTGGATGGGAGGGAGGAAGGGTGGGAGGGCTCGTGGGTTGATGGGGATGGCGTGCTCTCAGATGCAGCTCGTTGTGTTGTGCATGTGTGAAAGTGGGCGGGTGGGAAGCTAGCTCAGGCGCTACCCCATGGCCACATTCCTGATTGAGAAGCTCAAGGTGGGTGGGGTATGCAAGTGGTAAGTGGGTGGGTGGGTTGGTGTGTGGGTGGGAAGCTCAAGCGCTACCCCATGGCCACATTCCTGATTGAGAAGCTCAAGGTGGGTGGGGTATGCAAGTGGTAAGTGGGTGGGTTGGTGTGTGGGTGGGAAGCTCAAGCGCTACCCCATGGCCACATTCCTGATTGAGAAGCTCAAGGTGGGTGGGGTGGCTTGCTCTCAGGGTGGGTGGGTGGGTGGGTGGGTGGGTGGGTGGGTGGGTGGGTGGGTGGGTGGGTGAGTGGGTAGGTGGTTCAAGCGCTACCCCATGGCCACACTCCTGATTGAGAAGCTCAAGGCGGGTGGGTGGGCGCGTGGGTGGGTTCTTTGGTTCTGTGTGGACGCCAAGCTGCGCTTCATGCTCTCAGACCCCCACGACTGGTTACCGCTACTAGTTCCCTTTAATTCCAAGCCTGAAACAAGCGTTCCTCCTCCCCTTTCCCCCATGCAGGCACTGATTAAACGGTCCCTTGTTCAGCCCAGCTGTGTGGACGCCAAGCTCCGCTTCATGCTCTCAGACCCGCACGACTGGTTACCGCTACATGGTGTGATACCCTGAATTCACACTGTTCCTCCTCCCCCCACCCCCCATATCAGGCACTGATCAAGCGCTCGTTGGTGCAGCCAAGCTGTGTGGACGCCAAGCTCCGCTTCATGCTCTCAGATCCGCACGACTGGTTACCGCGTCAACCCTGCATGTTACCCTGGCGCCCCCCTGTTGACGCCTCTGTCAACCCTCCTCCCTCCACCCTCCCCGCCTCGTCGTCCCAAACCTCTCTCTCCGGTTTGGCCCAACCCTCAAGTGCTGGCTCGGACAGCCGAGGCTCGGATGCCCGAGGCTATGCGGTGAAAGGCTCGGGAGGAGGTTCGGATGGGGACGGGAGGGATGGGGAAGGCTCGGGTGCAAATCTTGGTGATTCTGGTGGAATTAACAGCACCAGTGTCGGTGGTGGTGTGGCTGGTGCTGCTGGTGGTGCTGCTGGTGCTGCTGCTGCTGCTGCTGGGTCAGGAATTGGTAAGATAGGTCGGGACGGAACGAGAGGTTCTGTGAGGGGACTGGTAGGGGGGATAATGGCGAGAAGGCAAGGAGCAGTCACAAGCAGCCCTGTGCTTGATCTAGTCGCAAGGCGGACCGGCAGTCACCAGAATCTTAGCTCTGGTGCCTTTGCCGCTGCTGCTGCTGCTTCTGGGGTTCCTAAATCGCCTATGAGGGGTGCGGTAGGTGCCAATGCTGGTGGAGGAGGGGGAGCAGCAGGAGGAGGGGGAGCAGCGGGAGGAGAAGGGGAAGCAGCAACGTTGCTGGTGTCGGGGGGAGGAAGAAGCAACCGTGACTCGAGTCAAGCTGTTCCCGACTCTCTGAATACCTCTCTGGTCCCTTTCAACCCTAACATGTGCCCCACTTCTCCTCTCAGAAGGCTCCCGCCTTTCTATCTTGGGTTGACGGAGCATGATCCAAAGCAGCAGCAGCAGCAGCAGCAACAACAACAACAACAACAACAACCAGAAGGAAACTCCTGCAGCAACTGCTACCAGCAATACCAGTGTTTCTTCCCCTTCGTTCTCTGTGTCCTCGCCCCCTGTACCTCCACCCCCCTCCGCCATCTCAACCTTCTCACCGCTCTCCACTCCTGCTCTTCCCTCTTCCACCACCTCGACTGCTCGCCACCTCTTTTCAGCAGCCAAATCACACTTGAAAAGCGCAGCTTATGCAATCAAGCCCTCCTCTTCCTCTGCAAGTTTCCTTTCCTCTTCAGGTGATTTTGGTAAAGCCAGTGAAGCATACACTGCTGTCGCCACTGCAGCTGTTTCTTCTGTTGAAAATTCTGCTGCTGAGGTGACAGGAACAGCAATAAAGTCGGCAGCAACGACAGTGATGGGAGCTGCTGCTGCCACTGCTGCTGCTGGCGCTGCTGCCGTTGGTTCCATTGCCGGTGGCGCTGCTGCTGCTAATGCCATAGGTTTGGTTGCTACTGGCAGTTCTGCTGGTGCTGCTGCTGGCGGGAGTGCTGGCGGTTTTGCTGCCAGTATGGCCGCAGGGTCGGAGGCAGGTTCGGCAGAGGTGCCTGTTCCTCAAACTGCCACGTCACCACCTGTGCTCCGACTCCCATCTTCTAGTTCATCCCCTGACATTGCCGAAACACAGCCACAGCTCCAACCTGCGTCCGTCTCATCCTCGTTATTGCCCGATTCGCTATTGTTCGACAAGCAGCAGGGAAGCAACGAAAGAAAGGTCAACGCTGCTGGTGGCACAGGTGGGGGGGGTGGTGTGGTGGGGCTGGGTGGGGGCATGGGCGTGGGGCGCATGAGAGCGAGCATGGCAGGAGAGCTGTTTGAAGGGCTGAGGCTGTCTAAAGCATCACGCATGGCTGCAAGGGAGAGGAGAAGGGCTGGAAGGGGCTGGGGAGGAGGAGGACGGGGAGGAGGAGGTGCTGATAGTGGGGATGTGGATGGGGAGGTAGGTTCAGCGGACGAAAGTTCATCGCAGCAGCAGCCAGTGCGAGGGTTTGAGGCGTTTAAACAAAGTCTAGGGGTGCGTGGGAGCGAATGGTTGGATAGGGGGAGGGAGAAGGATAAGGATCTGGAGAGATGGGCCATGGCAGCGATTGCAAGGGTGGCTGCAATGAGGAAGAAAGCAAGGGGGAGCGCGAGGGGGAGCTGGGATGGGTCGGAGTTGGGTATGGGGGATGCGGAAGATCTGGACGGTTTGGATGGGTTGGACGCGGTGGATGGGGTGGATGGGCTTGATGGTGATGCCTCTGCTGCTGCTGGTGCTGCTGGTGCTGGGGTATTAGGTTCGGTGAGGGACGATGCTAGCTTTGGGCTGTTTTCTGGGAGAACTTTGATGATGGTGGGAGGAGGATTGGGAGGAGCAGCGGTAGGAGGGTTGGGGGGGTTCAGGGGTGCTGCGGGGGGAACTGCGGGTGGAGGTCTGGTTGGAGGACTGAGGAGAATGGCAAGGAGCAAGAGTGGGAAGGGCAGGGAAGAGGAGGGCACGGGTACAAGCCAGGGAGTGGGTTCAAGGGAGGAAGGAGAGGAGGTGGGGGCGGAGGGGGAGGAAGGGGAGGAGGAAGGGGAGGATGGGTCAGAACGCTGGGCTGATGCGAGAAGCAATACAGTGCCGATAGTGAGAGCGAAGAGCTGGGAAGTGGGGAATCCCGAGGTGATGCGGACCCAGCTGTCGTCTCGTAGTGTTCGAGGCGTTGCAGGGCTGGCAGGGTTGGAATCGACGGCTGGAAATGATGGTGTGGGATCAACGGCTGGAAATGATTCGGAACGAACAGTTTCTTCTGGTACAATCACGACAGCTGAACGCACAGCATCCCCAGGTGTTACAGCCAGCACTGCAGGTAATGCTGCTTCTGGGGGTGTCGCCTCAGTAGTAGCGACCAGTGGGGATAGACGAGGTAATGGGGGAGCAGCAGATGGGGCAGCAGCAGCTCTAGTGGCTCGGCAGCAAGAAGGCTCCGGGTCTGGTGGGGAGAGTGGGGAGGAGAGGGAGGGCAAATGGGGGGATAGGATGGCTAGGGCGAAGGAGTTTGTGGGGAGGATAGGGAATAGGGAGGCGAGAGAGAGGCTTGAGGATAAGGCTAAGAAGGTCTTGGGGTTTTTGCACCGAGGTGAGAAAGGGGAGCAGTGAAAAGAGGAGGTGCGTGTTGTTGCAATTACATAGCATGCGACGTGTAGCCAGAGCATCAAGGTGATCTGTATGCTATTTCGTGTCCTGGGTGATGTGAAAGCTGCATCGTTTGTAGTTTAGTGATGATATTGAAAAGGCTAGCAAGGGGTGCTGAAGATGCTTGTGAGCTAAGCAAATGTATGTATTATTGTTTACCAGAATCTGCACTACCGCGTCGGTGCTTTTCAGGGGTTTACAAAATTCAGTGGTTTTCAGCGACTGCCCTGCTGCTGCGGAGGTCCACAGTTTCATTCTGGTGGCGAGGACGAACCGCATTTGTGTCAGCTCTTCGCCAACATTCGAAAATTTGCGTCACGACGCCACTTCACGCGGTCCTGTCCCCTCCGCCCCGCAGTCACACACACCTTCTGGTCAGTCTGGCAACATGTAGTCCATCCGATTCCACTAAAGTCCTATCTTGACCGTCCGTTTCTACGCAACCTGCACGTCGACTGGATCTGCTCGAATCGCATTGCAGACAGAGGCAGGCAATCCCGAAGCACCTCGATTTTCTCGCCGTGCCTTGAAATTTGCGTGTTTCGTTTCGGGTGCAGGATTTGGATGGCGTCCCCCAGCTGCTGATCGCGTGTTCCTCAGCGAACGCACACGGCTGTTGCTAGTTTCCCCAAACCCGCACGTCGTTCACAATTATATGCAACTTACATCCTCAATCTAGTCTCGTCGTTAACAATTATATGAGCTAGTACCCCACGCGGATATGGTCTAGCTGTGATCCGCTGATATAAGTCGCATCTGTGCTGCGCTAGCTTCCTCCATACTTCTAAATTCTGTAAACAAGCCGTACTTGCTGTACCTTAGATACCGCGCCTCGAACGCCAATATCTCTTTGGCTTCGACTGTTTCTCTGGCAGACACTACGTGTCGCCTAACAACCTCCGTGAACGTCTCAGGGACTCCAAGCTTAGTATTTCCAGTTATCCTTTCGTACTTCAACTCAGCACTTACGACCCAAACAAGACCTGTTACTCGTTACAAACGCGTTATTGGCAGACCTTACAGGCAGACTTAGCGTTGTATGTACCGAATCGTCGGAGTTAGTCGGTCGAGAAGGCAAAACGACGAGATGCTGGTAAGTCTAGACACCGATGCCTATCGCAAGGGTATTGGAGTGGTTCAAGTCAGTCAGAATGACGTTATTCCTTTGCAAGTGAGGGGGGATATGGATGAACGCGATAATCTAAATTGGGTGTACTTGACTTCAGGATGGTTCCTTGTGCTTATCTGCAACTTATGTGGTGAAGTATGGACTTCAATCACTTCGCGTTGCGATCTCCTTGCACAGTGTTAGCCACTTCTGGCGACAGAATGCGAAAACTTCTGTGCTTGCCAAACACTTACAACGATTTTATTTAGTCTGTTCAAAATTTAGACCACTCGATTCACACCCTTACTGGGAACGATTCCAGAAGCTTTTTAAAAATCGATAATGCATGGTACGACACCCTTGGGAGCTCCGCCGCATTCTCAAGGCGCAAGTTGGGTAGCTATCTTACGCCTCTTCCGCGTGTGATGAGTCTATTTCTGAGTCGACTCAAAAATAGACTCATCGCCGCCATGCTTAAGGCGCAAGATGGTTAGCCGCTGTCTTACGCTCTTCCGCTCACTTCTACTCCCACTGCTTCCTTCGTTTCGCCACTCCCTCCCTCACCCCCTTTCCCCTCTCTCCCATCTCCTCCTGCAGTTCCGAGCGGCAAAGACGGTGGTATGCTGCACTCTCGGGCCCATCGTATGGGGATTGCTATCGCTGCTCTTCCTCCTCCTCTTCGCCCTTGGAATTACGGCACTTGTGCTCTACTTCGTGTACAAACCCCAGGTGCGTGCTGGTCAATATCTGGCCCATCGTATGGGGATTGCTATCGCTCCTCTTCCTGCTCCTTATCGCCCTTGGAATCACGGCACTCGTGCTCTACTTCGTGTACAAACCGCAGGTTCGTCGCCTGATGTTTTCGATTCCAACTCTTACGCCGTTCCCCATATGCTTGTGACTGGTGCATGCTTGCCATCCTTCAGTTTTTCATCCGCCTCCCTTCCCTTTCTTATTGCTTACCGAAATAGGCTTTTGTTTTTCTCTACCTCCCTTCCCTCTCTGCATCCGTTCCATCCCTTCCTCCTTCCCTCCCTCCAGCTACCTGAGTGCGACGTACAGAACGTAACAGTAACCAGACTGAACGTCACTCGCCTAACTTCGTTTCCCTTCAACGAAACGGCATACGCAGCTCTAGCCACCTTGAGCGCCGCGGACAGAGCAGCCGCGCTGGGAGTCACAGGCACAGACGTCACAAACTCAACTGACCCATCCTCCCCGTTATTAGCTTCTCCGCTAGATGCTCTCGGGAATGCCACTGTGCCGCCGAGGCTAGGGCTGAATGCTGACGTGGGATTCACGTTGGAGACGCGGAATCCGAACAAGGTGGCGATTGATTATAAATACGTGAATGCGTCAATTATCTATCGAGGCGTGACTGTTGGAAACACGTCGGTGAGTCCTGGGTTATGCTCTCTTTTTTCGCCAAGACTTCCCTTTTTCCACCACCTACGCTCTGTTGCCCGGTTTTTTCATTCCCCACGCCATTCCGAGTCCTCTTACTTCATATCCTTTGCATTCCTGTGTTAACACGTGAAGCTAAGTCGCTCGTTCCGATTTTTTCTTCCCTGGCTGCTGCAGATACCGCCTTTCACGCAACAGGCACAAACCAACACGAGCATACCAGCATCGCTACTGGTTGTAGATTTCCCGCTCGATATAGTCACGGGGCCTGTCATGCTGGCGGATTTGAACGCTGGCAATGTTCCTCTTCAGGTACTCTTCCTCTACATGTTGTGTTTCTGTACATGTGTTCTTGCTCTAAAGGTCTTTTTCCTCTATAAGTGTTGCCCCTTCACATGTAGTTTTCCTCTCTGCATCCTTTGTGGCATCCGCTTGTTTGGTTCCCCTTGGTTTGAGTCTGCTCGTTTGCCTTCCTATGGTGAGCAAAACCCCCTTTTTTTCAGAATTTTCAGGATTTCTGCGTCCTATCCCCATGTCACAATCGCTGCTTTAACTTGGAGAGAAGGTTCGCAATACAATCGAGACGCCACACTTGCGTCTCACAGATTTGTTTTAGATTATCAGCACTCGAGATGTCTCCTATCCCACTCTGCTCCCCTGTCCCCATGGCACAGTTGCTACTTCAACTAGGGGCAAGGATCAACATTTTAGGAGTGGCATCTCCGTTTGCTCTGGTGAGTGTGCATGCCCTTTCTCTTCTCTATAATCTGGCTGAGTTTGCATCACAGGCCCTTCACCCTTACATATATATACAGCCTCCCGTTTCTTAACTCCTCTTTTCTTCTGTGGTGTCTCTTTAAACTCAATACTCTTGGTCCCTGTATTCCCTCCCGCGCCATTTTGCACCAGGTCGGTTTGTTGTGCGATGTAACAGCTGATCCAATAACGCGGACAGTGAAAAGCACAAGTTGCTCATTACAAAACGTAGGGTTCGCATGAGCTACCGGGAAAGAGCTGCATACAGTCGTGACCAAAAAAGTGTTATCTTTCGATGTGGAATGTACGGGAGGTGTATTCTAATACGGCATAAGGTGAACGTGTAGATCATTATCATATTGTGTTAAAGCATCTGATACCGGCAAGGCACTTTGCTTGATCCGTATGTTTCTTGGCTCTAAGCGGCTGGTGTTCGCTAGACATTGTTATAACTGATGTAACAAGGATAGAATTGCCAACTCTACACTGCATCTGGCCTTACTCTGCACCAAGAAGAGCTTAATCTGGGGTGGTAAATACGCAGGCAAGTAAAGGAATTCTATTGCATTCAGAATTAAGACACTGCAGAGCATTTTAAACTGTGCAAAAAACGACCTAACAAAAAGCATCCCGTATTGTAGGAAAGTTTACAACACCTCACCTAGAACAAATTCCTAACAACATGCACACATGCTGTGTATACTATGATCAACTCCATAACAATTTAGCGACCAATATGCACATACAGAACACTACATTGACAAGACAGTTGCAGTCTTGACCCTTCCCAGAATCGCCTCCTGCATCACTTCCCCGTCATCCTCCGTGTCTCCACCATCCACGTCATCATCACCACTGTCCTCATCAGCATCCGCACCATCCACGTCAGCACAACCAATGTGATTGTCCACATCATCCAAATCAGAATCATCTGTGTCATCCCATGGCCCCAATTCTCCCCCCTCCTCTCCTTCCTCCTCTTTCCACTCTCCATCCCCACCCGTCGTATCTTGCTTTCCCCTCCATTCCTTCACTTCCTCCTCCCCATTCTTCATCCCACCCTCCTCCTCACTTCCCAAGCCAGCTCTTTTCCTCAGTCCCTCTCTCCCCTTGATCGCTCCTCCCTTCCAAACCAGAGGGACAGAAGTCCACGTCGGTCCCCCTGCTGCCATCACCCCAAGCCTTCCCGCACCTCTATCCGCACCTCCCGCCGAGCCTCCTGCCGAACCTCCTGCCGAGCCTCCGCCCGAACCTGCAAGGTCGCAGCACAGGGCATCCGAAGCTGGAAGGAGGGTTCCATCGGAGTTTTGGAGGTATCCTCCAAAAAGGAAGATTCGGTTCTTGAGAATGGTGTGCTCAAAGTGAATGCGGGGCAAGAGAGGGTGGAGAGGGAAGAGCGGAGCAGGAGCAGCAGGGGCAGCAGCAGGAGCAGGAGGAAGAGGAGGGATGCGAGGACGCTGTTGCTGCTGCTGGTGCTGCTGCTGGTGCTGATGAATCAGCTGCTGCTGCTGCTGGTGCTGGTGTCTCTGATGCGGCTGGTTCTGGCCTTGTCCCTGCTGATGCTGATGTTGCTGTTGCTGCTGCAGGTTTGCCAGACCGAGGTGGTTGCGAGTGGGGTGTGTGGCGTAGGTAGGAGGCACCTGCAGCAATCATTCAACAACCATGCAGCAAACACACAACAAACAGGGACAGTCACACGTTAAACACACACCAAACACACAACAAACACCAGCCAGCCATTTCATGGCCATGCCATAACCATGCGCAAACATCCCAGATATGTCTTTTGGTTTGAATCGGCAAGAGGGGGGATGTGAAAGAACAAGCAGTGGCAAGTGGGAGAGAGGGAGAACTCCTGCCTCCCCACCTCCTGCCATGCGCTCACCTGCAGAACCTTCCTGGCTTTGGTAACCGCATCGTACACGTGCAGACACCCGTCCCTTCTCCAAACCAGGAACCGAGGCACGCACCCCACGCCCCACTGCGCAGCTGCATGCTCCAGCAGCCACGTCTCGGGGTGCAGACCTTTGCCCCCATGCAAGCCCTTGCCCTACCCCACAGCACAACACTCACCTGTAACATCTTCCTGGCCTTGGTAACCGCATCGTACACGTGCAGAGAGCCTTCCCTCCTCCAAACCAGGAACCGAGGCACGCACCCCATGCCCCACTGCGCTGCTGCATGCTCCAGCAGCCACGTCTCAGGATGCAGACCCTTGCCCGGGGGGAGGGAGACCCAGGTGCTGGAAGCAGGGTCGTACATGCACACTAGGTAGGGCGAGCGGGCGGAGGAGGGGGCAGCGGTGGTGGTGTTTGGGATGGTGTTGTTGGGGGTCCATACCCCTCGAGCAGCAGCAGTAGGAGCAGGAGGAGGAGGAGGAGCAGCGGCAGCGGCAGCAAGAGAGATGTCACGGTTGGTGAAAGCAGCAGTCACAAAATTGGCAGCCTCAGCATTAGGCGCCGCATCAGCAGCAGCAGCAATAGCGGCAGCATTCGCAGCACCAGCTCTGACCCCACCCAATTGAAGCGCATCAGCAGCAACATCTGTAACCGAAACCCTAACATGGTTTCTCCCCAGCAGAAACAGCCTCCCGGCCAGCACCACACCACTGCACTCATAACACGCCATCGGCATTTCTGGCACTCTCTCCCACACATCAGCCTTTGGATCGTACATTTCCACGGTACAGAGCGGTTCGCACGCCCTGCCTTTCTCCCACAGTCGTCCCCCCGCTACTATCACCCTGCCTTTAATCACTCCGAACGCGAACCCCACCCGACCCTGGTTCATAGGCGCGGCGCGCACCCATGCGTCCCGGACCGGGCTGTACCTCCAGACCTGCACCTCACGTTCGGCGAGCTCAGGGTTGGGAAGAGCTGCTTCAGGGTCGGCAGTACCAGCAGAAGCAGCAGCAGCGGCACCGTCGATCGCAGCAACAGCAGCCGCCGCTGCTGCAGCCATAGAGGCTCGGTCCGGGGCTGCATCCGAGCCTCGGGTCCAGACCCGGTGCCGAGCCTTTGCCGAGCCTCGGACGGCAAAGAGGAGGAGTTCCGAGCCTAAGGCTTGGAGGCGGCAATCCCAGAGGGAACTAGAGTCAGTAGGGTTGGCGAGTTGAGGAGGGAGATGAGAGAGGGGGTAGAGGGAGTTGGAGGGAGGGTGAAAGCCCACCAGACGAAGACAAGAAGGAGCAGAAGAAGGGGAGGAGGAGGAAGCAGAGGAGGAGGATGAGGAGGAAGAAGGATTTGATAGCGAGGAAGAGGGGGGCGCAGAGGTGTTTTGGGTAGGACTGGAGTGCGTTGCACCTAATACTGTGTTGGGATTTTTCTTGCTGCTTGTGCTGCCAACATCACTCCCCCTGATGCTACTGCCGTCATCGCTCCTTGTGCTGCCCGTGCTGGCAGCCTGTGTAACCCTTGCGGGCGAGGCAGAGCGAGCAGTGCGGCCACTCGCACTTATTCGGCTGGAGTGGGAAAAGAGAGGCGGCTTCCCTCTGTTACCACTGCTGCTGTAGCTCCTGCTGTTCACTCTTGCTGCTGCTGGCAAGGAGGACGCACCATGCCCCACTGCCGCAGCCGACGCTTCAATTACACCTGTTGACGCACCTGCCTCGTCTGATGCTGCTGATGCAGCACTTGGGCGTGCTGACGATGATGAGCGAGTGGCAGATGCGGCTCGTGGGATGGAGGTGTTGTTAGGAAGGTGGGGTGCGGAGGGAGAGGAGGTGGAACAGGAGGAGGAAGGCACTCCAAGGTCGGAAAGGGAGAGGGTGGGGAGGGAGAAGCGAGTGTTGAGGGAAAGCTGCAGGCCCCTACTTGTTGACACTGCTGGCAGTGTTGACAGTGCTGACAGTGATCCCTTGCCCTTGCTCGACGGGTTTTGAGGCACCTCAGAAGTCGCGTTGAGGGAAAGCTGCAGGCCCCTACTTGTCGACGGTGTTGACAGTGCAGACACTGATCCCTTGCCCTTGCCCTTTTCGTCCCTGCCCCATCCCCATCCACCCTCTCTCATCAAACCACTCACTCTCTCACGGCCATCAACAGCTTCCTTTCCCTTCCCTCCTCGCTCCCCCATCCTCCCTTCGCCACACCCCCTGCTGCTGCTGCTGCTGCTGCTGCTGCTGCTGCCCATCCCGCTCCTTGCTATCTCGTCCCTGCTCTCACTTCTGCTTCTGCTCCTGCCCACGCCACACTCCTCCCCTCTGCCCTTGCTTTTCCCTGTACCGCCGCAATCGCTTCTGCTTCTCCCCTCCTCTGCCCCCCTGCCTTGACCACAGCTGCTAGCACTGCTGCTTCTGACGCAGCTGCCACGAGAATTCCTATCGCCAACTGATCCACCACCAGTCACCCTGCTTGGACCAGCAATCGCCCTGCTGCTATCATCCCCCTGCTATCACTCCACCTGCTGGCTCTGTTGACTATTACGCTGCTGCTTCCGCTGCTGCTTCTGCTGCCAAAGCCACCCATATCTCTGCTGTTCTCCCTCCTCCTACCGCTGCCATAGCTGCTTCTTTCCCTCCTCACCTCACTTCTCCCCCTGCTTTCTCCTCCCCTCTCCCTCCCCTCCATACCCCTCCCCCTCCCTTCCCCACTTCCCCTCCTTCCCTCCACGCTCCTCCCGCTCCCTCCCACACTCCCATCACCAACACCTCTCCCATCACCAGCACCACCCCCCTCACCCCCCTCCCAAGGCACGACCATAAACACCCACTCTTCCAGCCTCTTGCTCCTCCTCCTCAGCTCCCGAACCTCCTCCCCTGCCAGACCTCGCTCCCAGGCTCGGGAAACAGACCGGCCCGACGCTAGGTTCAGCCACGGAAGACGGGACAGGATATCCAACCCAACGTCATCAGGCAGGTTCGGAAACAAGCCTGGCACAGCCTCAGGCTCAGGTTCCGGAGAATCCTGTCCCAGGACCTTCTCTCCAGGTTCAAAATCAGGTTCAAGTCCAGGTCCGGGACCAGGTTTGGTTGCAGGTTCGGGTGCAGGTCCAGCACGACGTTCGGGTTGAGCCGGTGGCTGTTGGCGAACTTCAGCTTCAGGTTCGGTTTTGGGTTCGAAAAGAATCCCTCCATCGCTGGTTTGCTCAGTTGAACCATCCATGGCATCATGCATGGCAAAACCCTCGCCAGGTGGTATACCACCAGCTTGCATGGTGACAACAGCACCCATAACACCACCTCCCACACAATCAACTCCCCTGTCGTCCTTGCCCTCATGCTCACAGTTCTGCTGCTCACCATTCTGCATAGCATCGTGGCAAATGGCTTCAGGACCCCCCCTGCCGTGAGCCATGCCATGCTCTGTCCCATGCACCCCCATCACATCCTCCTCCCTGTGCAGAAACGGCCATGGGACAACCGCAGGCGGGCACACCCGTGCATGGGAAGCATCCTGCTGAATGGAAGCAGACTCGATGGCAACAGACTCGCAAACTTCGCCTAGCCTGATGGAAGGAAGGTTCCCAGCAGCTGCCAGGCATGGCCAGTGTGCGGCACTGCTGGTGGCACTGGTAGCACTGGCAGCAGCAGCAGCAGCAGCAGCAGCATCAGCAGCAGCATGGGGCATGCTGTTTTGTCCTGATTGCAAGCCGTTGGATCTTTCACTGCTGCAATCCCCATCGTCAGCTGCACTGGCACTCCCAACAAGACCAATAATTTCACCATCGAAATAGCTGACATCAGCATCATCGACATCAGCATCATCAGCATCAGCACCATCATCAGCACCATCACCACCGCCAGCACGATCATCATTACCATCTAGATCACTATCCTCCACGTCAGCATCTGCATCATAGAACAGCGCATCGTCACCCTCATCGTCACCATTTTCTGCTGACGCGTCATTGGTCTCTGCCAGGTCAGCAGCAGCCACGTCATCACCGTACACGTCACTGCCCATGCTGTAGTACCTGCTGCTGCCAATACTCAATCCCCTGCTCCTCCTGCTCTCGCCTCCTTCCCTCCTCGCCCTGCTGCTGCTCCTCCTCCCACCAGAAAGCACATTACCATCTGCAATACTGCTGCTCCTGGTGTTGGCACTGGGAACGACGTTTTTGTTTGTCGTACTGCTGCTGATGTTGCTGCTGCTAGTAGAAACAGCCTCACGGTCACACCCGTTATTATCACCTCCTGCTGTAGCCTCATCCGGTCCCTTCCCATCCGCTATAGGCACAACCCTCCTCGCCCTCCTCCTGCCACCCTGGCCACACACGCCCAGCAGTCGGACCCTCCTTATAATCCCACCCCGCTGCTTCTCACAACCATCTCCATCACATTCCTTGCCTTTACCCTTGCCTCTGCCGTTGCCTTTGCCCCGTGTCCTCCCACAATCCCCATCTGTACTACTATCGGGGGTGTTTTGTTCGTTTACCCTCGGGGAAACCTCACAAAAAGCACCACGTGACTGCCACCCGCTGTCGTGATTGCCTTTCTTTGCCGCTGCAACAACTGACCTCCTGCTTCTGCTGCCGCCCACTCTCTTGCTGCACAGCCAGCAAGCAGGTTCTCCGGGAGAGGATGCTGAAATTGCTGACGTTGATGCTGGCGCGGATGATGCTGTTGCTGACGTGGTAGATGCTGCAGCTGACGTGGATGCTGCTGCTGCTGATGTGGACGGGAGCTGGGATGTCCGGCGGGAGGAGAGAGGGGAGGAGAGGAGCAGAGGGAGGAGGAGGGACCGCACACGGCGGTGGGGACAGGCAGGCGCTCGCAGGGGTGTTACAGTGGACGGTTGTGATTCATTCAATTGGTCTGATTGCGCTGATCGACGGCTGAGAGCGGCATCGCCAGGATTCGAACCAGAGCCATCCGCGCTATAAGCTGGCCCGCCTGCCATGGCTACGTGCAGACGGGTTACGTGGAGGTACGGAACGGTACGTATTCTCCTTCAAATTGTTTTCCCCGCTTGCACTGATGCTATTTCTGCCATAAAAATTGATTGCGAAAGAATCTTCAAGCGTCTGAAATCGAGAAGAGGTTCGCGCAGCGACAAGCAACCCGTCCTGCTCGATTTTGAGTAGAACTGAGCAACCAAGCAAGCCATTCTTCTTGATTCTAGGGCTCAGTTGCAGGCTCAGGCCCATTCTCCTCGATTCTACGGCGTCATGACGTGACCGATTCGTCCACGCGATCAGCCCCAGTCGCCTCGACGACCCCAATCGCGCAGAGCACGCCTCGCGATAGCTCGCGACTGCGTGCGAAAGCCTCCGACGGTCGGAAATTCGGGCCTTGCGGCAGCCTCGGACGGTCTGGCGTCAGGCGCGGCGTCGTCGCCACGCGCGTAACATGTTCAGATTCGGATGATGGTAACCCGAGGACCTAGGGAATGCCGTGGACGGAGAAACCCTGGAGATTGCTTGCCGAAGTTCGAGCTTCGAAGCTGTCTTCTGTCAGCAAATGCTCTCGGTTGGAGAATGCGAAGCGGGCGGATGATGATGATCTCTAGGGGCAATTTGATGACGCAATTGCAGAATCTCGTACTGTAGTTTCTAGCCTGAATTACATACGCGCTAATGTGTCACTTGGCATGTGCAATGCTCAGACTGTGGTTTTCAGTTTTGCAAAACTGGTTCTCTCATCAACCCAAGTTCGCGTAACCTAAATCGGGTACAGATTCTCGCGTGATCATCCAGCAGCAGGAACTAGACGACGAAAGCACCATGCCTTCGTGCCGCCAGGAATCTGTTTATGCGGCGTTTCGGACCAGAACGTGCACGCTGCGAGGAGTCAATTAGTGATCTATGGCTGGTCAGGCACAGCACTGATGTGACAACCAGCGGCCTGTGACTAAATGGTAGTCATTCCTCTTCATCTCTCTCTAGTACCGAATCTCATCATACTAGGTACACCGAGACGCCTGCTAAGATTGATCGAATGGCATTCAGCAACAGCTACTCTTATGAAACCCTAAACTCGCGAATTCAATCCTTCCGTATCGCATTTTCCCAAAACTCCTCGACGCGGCTCGTACCACGTCAGTCCGTGCCGAAGGTCACGCGCGTTGACACGTGTCACAACATCGGTGGTCTGTAGAGCTCGCTCTAAGACCGACGCTATGACGGGGAATGCTCTAGATTTAAATACAACAGATCCTGAAACGCACGAATCAGAGCAGCGAAATGCGAGTCAAAGTGGAGGAGAAACTGGAAGAGAAATGAGTTTCCAACTAGCAGCATCACCCAGCAATGACCGAGTAGATTCCGGCCAATCAGAAGCCAGCGCGGATCGGTGGTTGTCCGATCGCAGCCGTTTATTTGGTCCTTCGGTGATCGTGGAGGTGACTAGGCTGGCGAAGAAGAGAGGAGCCATCAACCTGGGGGAAGGTGAGCCGAATGCTAGTATCTCCTCTGGAAACTTATGGGGCGCCTCAAAAGGTGAGCCGAAGGCTAGTATCGCCCCTGGCAACGGCGTAAGGAGCCATTAAATTCTGAGGAGGACGGTTTAGGTTTTTGTATACTCTTGGATCGTTAGTGCTGTAAGGCCTAGATTGATAGCCTCGTTATGAGACGATGGAACCTAGGTTTTTAAGACACTTACATTCCAGTAGTTGCGTAAGAATTTGCGACCCTTACGGTATGACTAGTTGATAGCCTCAGAAAGCACTGAAAGGAATGTGTCTGGCCTTTTAACATGCCGTTGTGATGTGACATCATGGGATGTGTGACCTTAATATGCATGGCATGATATAACACGACATGGATTGGCACGTCATGGCATGATATGGAATGGTATGGCATGGCACGGCATGGCATGGCATGGCATGGCATGGCATTGCATGGCATGGTGGCACCATCTACTTCAGGATTCCCCGACTATGCTGCTCCTACAGCTCTTAAGGACGCAGGGATGGCCGCCATTGCTGCTGATGTGAACCAGTACGAGTGAGTGAGTGGCCAATCCAGCTGCCTCTGCCTTCTCTCCCTCCTCCCGCACTTGCTGCTCGCCACTACCACTCCTGATTTCTGTCCCTCCCTCACGTCACCCGTTCCTTCTCCCATTTCTCCCTCCCATCTTCTCCCGTTCGTCTCAACCTGGAAAAGAACATCTACAATATGGGCAACACCCTCATCTGGTTCATCTGGTTTCTTGCACCTGTCCCATCTGTCCCCCTCTTTCCATTTCCCCTCTTTTCCAGCTACAATACTTCTCTGGCTGAACTTGTGGCTCGCACCTTCTCAGAAGCTTCCGGAGTTCCGGTGGACCCAGACACGGAGGTGGTGCTCAGCTCCGGCCAGACCTGCGCCTTTGCCTCGGCATGCCTCGCAGGTTCGGTTTGTTTTTCTTCAACGTTCCTGTTACCTTTCTATACCCTTCAACCCCAAACCCTGAAGTTCCCTGCCCTTCACATATCTCTTCCCCTTAACTCTTTTGGAATACAAAGTTCTTATATCCAATCATCTGCTCTTCCCCTCTAGACCCTTCCCTCTTACCGAAAACCGCCTGTCTTCCTCTTTCCACCCTCTCCTGGGCATGACGTCATCCTGCAGTGTTCCAGCCTGGCGATGACGTCATCCTGTTCGACCCTGCGTTTGAGGCGTATCACGGGGCCATTCTGATCGCTGGTGCCAACCCGGTAGGTGGGTGTGTGGGTTGGCGGTTAAGGGACATGTAAGCACGCGCAGATGGGCATGCACAGCTGTTCGACCCTGCCTTTGAGGCGTACCACGGGGCCATTCTGCAGACTTTTGAGTCGACTCAAAAGTCACGGGGCCATTCTGATCGCTGGTGCCAACCCAATCGGTGGGCTGGTAGGGCTGGTGGGTGGTTGGGTTGGGTGGTTGGGTGGTTGGGTTGGGTGGGTGGGTAGCGGAGAGGGGTCGGAGGACGAGGGAAAAGGGTGAGGGAGGGGTGGGAGAGAGGGGAGAAGGGTGGGAGGGCTTGGAGAGGGGGGAGAGGAGAAGGTCACGTTCCTTCCCATCCGTCCATGCCAGGTGTACGTGCCTCTCTCTCCTCCCCCCTGGTTCTTCAACTTCACCCTTCTCTCAGCCGCCCTCGCTCCACTCACTGCTGTTGCCTCTATCCTCCATGCCCCTCCTCCTGTCTCTCTCTATGCCATTCCCTCCCGTCCGCCCATGACAGGTGTACGTGCCTCTCTCCCCTCCCCACTGGTCAATCAGCTTCAGCACCCGTGTTTGAAGAAGTGTTTTGAGACGTCTCAAAACACTTCTTCAAACACCCTCGCAGCCGCCCTCACTCCACTCCACTCCCTCCTGTTGCTGCTATCCTGCTGACCCTTTTTCCCCTTAACCACTCTCTCCCTCCCTCCCGTCTGGCCATGCCAGGTGTACGTGCCTCTCTCCCCTCCCCTCTGGTCCATCGACTTCGATGCAATCGCAGCCGCCCTCACTCCACTCCACTCCCTCCCTCACTTGTCCACTCGCTCCTGTTGCTGCTATCCCGCTTGCCCTTTTCCCCTTAACCACTCCCTCCCTCCCTCCCGTCCGGCCATGCCAGGTCTACGTGCCACTCTCCCCTCCCCACTGGTCCATCGACTTCAGTGCAATCGCAGCCGCCCTCACTCCACGTACCAAGGGCATCGTTCTCAACAGGTGCGTGCGGTGCTTCACAGAGCGACAATTATGCTGCCATCACGACCTGATGGCTGTTACAGACGCGGTGTACAGCCCATTCTCCTACCATCCTACCAACGGCCCCTTCTCCCCCATCCCCCTACTCCCACAACAACCGCCCCATTCCAGTCCATGCAACCCCACTGGCCGTGTCTTCTCACACGAGCAGCTCTTTCAGCGACGATTATGCTGCCATCACGACCTGCTGGCTGTTACAGGCGAGCTGTACAGCCCATTCTCCTCCTACCTACCTACCAACCTAACAACGGCCCCACCCCAGTCCACGGAACCCCACTGGCCGTCTCTTCTCACACACAGAGGTGACTCTGTTGGCCCAATTCTGCTGCCATCACGCATCCACCTGTCACACCCGCAATCTCCTCACCCCCCCATCTCTCTACTCCGACAACACCCCACCCCCGCTCCAGTCCATGCAACCCCACTGGCCGTGTGTTCTCGCATGAGGAACTGGCTTAGTTAGCAGCCTTCTGCTGCCATCACGACCTGCTGGCGATAACAGACGAGGTTTACTGCGCTTTCACCTGTGACAGCAGCGCGAACTCCCTCCTTCCCCCTGCCACTTGCCTCCCTCCCTCCCCTTCCTCCCTCAACAACTTGCCCGATCCCCAATTCCCCAACCCACCCCCACCCCAGCCCATGCAACCCCACTGGCCGTGTCTTCTCACAGCAGGAACTGGCTCAGCTAGCAGCGTTCTGCTGCCGTCACGACCTGCTGGCGATCACAGACGAGGTGTACAGCGCATTCACCTATGGCAGCAGCTCACACCGCTTCCTCATCTCCCCCCTCCCTCGTTCCATCCATGCTCCCTCCCCCAACAACCTGCCTCAAACCCACCCCAGCCCGTGCAACCCCACTGGCCGTGTATTTTCCCATGAGGAGTTGACTCAACTCGCCCAATTCTGCTGCCATCACGACCTGCTGGCGATCACAGACGAGGTGTACAGCGCATTCACCTATGGTGGCAGTGGCGCCGAGCGCCACGTGTCGCTCGCTCATTGGCCGGGCATGAAGCAGCGCTGCATCGTCACCTCGTCCATCTCTAAAACGTTCCACGTCACTGGTGGGTGCGAAAGGAGTATGGTGGGTGGGTGAGTGGATGGTTGGGTGTGGTGGAGTGGGGTGGTGTTGTGTGGGCAGGGGTGCTTGGCAGCGCTGCATCGTCACCTCGTCCATCTCCAAAACGTTCCACGTCACTGGTGGGTGGGATGGGTGGGATGCAGGTATCGTGCTAGGGTGACAGGATGGTAGGGTGCAGTGCGGTTGGCTAATGTTGCGGGCAGGGGTGCTTGGCCGGGAATGAAGCAGCGCTGCATCATCACCTCGTCCATCTCCAAAACGTTCCATGTCACTGGTGGGTGGGATGGGTGGGATGCGGGTATCGTGCTAGGGTGACAGGATGGTAGGGTGCAGTGCGGTTGGCTAATGTTGCGGGCAGGGGTGCTTGGCCGGGAATGAAGCAGCGCTGCATCATCACCTCGTCCATCTCCAAAACGTTCCATGTCACTGGTGGGTGGGATGGGTGGGATGCGGGTATCGTGCTAGGGTGACAGGATGGTAGGGTGCAGTGCGGTTGGCTAATGTTGCGGGCAGGGGTGCTTGGCCGGGAATGAAGCAGCGCTGCATCATCACCTCGTCCATCTCCAAAACGTTCCATGTCACTGGTGGGTGGGATGGGTGGGATGCGGGTATCGTGCTAGGGTGACAGGATGGTAGGGTGCAGTGCGGTTGGCTAATGTTGCGGGCAGGGGTGCTTGGCCGGGAATGAAGCAGCGCTGCATCATCACCTCGTCCATCTCCAAAACGTTCCATGTCACTGGTGGGTGGGATGGGTGGGATGCGGGTATCGTGCTAGGGTGACAGGATGGTGGGGTGCAGTGCGGTTGGCTAATGTTGCGGGCAGGGGTGCTTGGCCGGGAATGAAGCAGCGCTGCATCATCACCTCGTCCATCTCCAAAACGTTCCATGTCACTGGTGGGTGGGATGGGTGGGATGCGGGTATCGTGCTAGGGTGACAGGATGGTGGGGTGCAGTGCGGTTGGCTAATGTTGCGGGCAGGGGTGCTTGGCCGGGAATGAAGCAGCGCTGCATCATCACCTCGTCCATCTCCAAAACGTTCCATGTCACTGGTGGGTGGGATGGGTGGGATGCGGGTATCGTGCTAGGGTGACAGGATGGTAGGGTGCAGTGCGGTTGGCTAATGTTGCGGGCAGGGGTGCTTGGCCGGGAATGAAGCAGCGCTGCATCATCACCTCGTCCATCTCCAAAACGTTCCATGTCACTGGTGGGTGGGATGGGTGGGATGCGGGTATCGTGCTAGGGTGACAGGATGGTAGGGTGCAGTGCGGTTGGCTAATGTTGCGGGCAGGGGTGCTTGGCCGGGAATGAAGCAGCGCTGCATCATCACCTCGTCCATCTCCAAAACGTTCCATGTCACTGGTGGGTGGGATGGGTGGGATGCGGGTATCGTGCTAGGGTGACAGGATGGTAGGGTGCAGTGCGGTTGGCTAATGTTGCGGGCAGGGGTGCTTGGCCGGGAATGAAGCAGCGCTGCATCATCACCTCGTCCATCTCCAAAACGTTCCATGTCACTGGTGGGTGGGATGGGTGGGATGCGGGTATCGTGCTAGGGTGACAGGATGGTAGGGTGCAGTGCGGTTGGCTAATGTTGCGGGCAGGGGTGCTTGGCCGGGAATGAAGCAGCGCTGCATCATCACCTCGTCCATCTCCAAAACGTTCCATGTCACTGGTGGGTGGGATGGGTGGGATGCGGGTATCGTGCTAGGGTGACAGGATGGTAGGGTGCAGTGCGGTTGGCTAATGTTGCGGGCAGGGGTGCTTGGCCGGGAATGAAGCAGCGCTGCATCATCACCTCGTCCATCTCCAAAACGTTCCATGTCACTGGTGGGTGGGATGGGTGGGATGCGGGTATCGTGCTAGGGTGACAGGATGGTGGGGTGCAGTGCGGTTGGCTAATGTTGCGGGCAGGGGTGCTTGGCCGGGAATGAAGCAGCGCTGCATCATCACCTCGTCCATCTCCAAAACGTTCCATGTCACTGGTGGGTGGGATGGGTGGGATGCGGGTATCGTGCTAGGGTGACAGGATGGTAGGGTGCAGTGCGGTTGGCTAATGTTGCGGGCAGGGGTGCTTGGCCGGGAATGAAGCAGCGCTGCATCATCACCTCGTCCATCTCCAAAACGTTCCATGTCACTGGTGGGTGGGATGGGTGGGATGCGGGTATCGTGCTAGGGTGACAGGATGGTAGGGTGCAGTGCGGTTGGCTAATGTTGCGGGCAGGGGTGCTTGGCCGGGAATGAAGCAGCGCTGCATCATCACCTCGTCCATCTCCAAAACGTTCCATGTCACTGGTGGGTGGGATGGGTGGGATGCGGGTATCGTGCTAGGGTGACAGGATGGTAGGGTGCAGTGCGGTTGGCTAATGTTGCGGGCAGGGGTGCTTGGCCGGGAATGAAGCAGCGCTGCATCATCACCTCGTCCATCTCCAAAACGTTCCATGTCACTGGTGGGTGGGATGGGTGGGATGCGGGTATCGTGCTAGGGTGACAGGATGGTAGGGTGCAGTGCGGTTGGCTAATGTTGCGGGCAGGGGTGCTTGGCCGGGAATGAAGCAGCGCTGCATCATCACCTCGTCCATCTCCAAAACGTTCCATGTCACTGGTGGGTGGGATGGGTGGGATGCGGGTATCGTGCTAGGGTGACAGGATGGTAGGGTGCAGTGCGGTTGGCTAATGTTGCGGGCAGGGGTGCTTGGCCGGGAATGAAGCAGCGCTGCATCATCACCTCGTCCATCTCCAAAACGTTCCATGTCACTGGTGGGTGCGAAAGGAGTATGGGGGGGTGGGTGGGTTAATGGGTGGGTGCATGAATGGGTGGGTGAGTGGGGTGGTTGGTGGGTGGTTGGAATGGTGGGTCGGTGGGCTGCATAACACTCTGCCCTTCCTCAAACCTCTCTCGTTCCCTCCTCTCTCCCTCTTTCTCCCCTCTAGGTTCACGGGTGGGATGGGCCATAGCCCCACCGCCCGTTGCTGCTGCCATCAGCACCATCAGCGCTTGTGCCCATCGCGCCCCTCGTCATCTCTTCTCTCCCTCTCGTCCCCTGCAGGTTGGCGGGTGGGGTGGGCCATAGCACCACCGCCCATCGCAGCAGCCATCGGCACCATCAGTGCTTGTGCCCATCGTGCTTCTCTTCTCTTGCCTCATTTCTTCCTCCTTTCCCTTCTCCTCTGCCAGGTTGGCGGGTGGGGTGGGCCATAGCACCATCGCCCATCGCAGCTGCCATCAGCACCATCAGCGCCAAGCTCATCGACACTCCTCCGGCCCCCTTCCAGGAATCTTCCCGTGTGGCTCTGTCCCTACCGCCGTCCTACTACACTCAGTTAAGAGAGGTAATCTTCATCCCCTCGAAACGTTACGCTTCTTTGTACCTGCTGTTATCCTGTTACACACATTTGAAAGAGACAGCTGCATCGACTTGCTTCTTTTTAGGTGCCTCAGATATACACTTTTCTGTACCAACTATCATCCTACCACACGCAATTGAAAGAGAGAAAAGAATCAGTTGCATTGATATTTATTTGATGCTGGGCTGCTCACGCATGGGCTGCTCACGCATGGGTTGCTCACGCATGGGTTGCTCACGCATGGGTTGCTCTCGCATGGGTTGCTCGCGCATGGGCTGCTCGCGCATGGGCTGCTCGCGCATGGGCTGCTCGCCCATGGGCTGCTCACGCATGGGCTGCTCACGCATGGGCTGCTCACGCATGGGCTGCTCACGCATGGGCTGCTCACGCATGGGCTGCTCTCGCATGGGCTGCTCACGCATGGGCTGCTCACGCATGGGCTGCTCACGCATGGGCTGCTCACGCATGGGCTGCTCACGCATGGGCTGCTCACGCATGGGCTGCTCACGCATGGGCTGCTCTCGCATGGGTTGCTCACTGCCTATTATAGCGGGCTTTCATGTGCGCGCCTCTTCTTTTCTCTCCATCTCTCCATCCCATCCCATCCCATCCCATCCCATCGCATCCCATCCCAGTTCAACCCATCACAACCCATCTCATCCCCAAGACTACATGTACGGCGGTGGTAATGCTGCAGGAAACGGGGTTGAAAGTGCCTCTCGTGTAATTGTCTTCTGTTCTTGTCATTTCTCCTCGACCCATCCTCCCCCCAGGACTACACGCATAAGCGGGACACAGCAGTGGCAATGCTGCTCGAAGCGGGCCTGGAGGTGCCTCTTGTTCCAGAGGGGTCCTTGTTTGTTTTCGCCCGCATTCCCGAGACATGGGCTTTCATGCGTGCTTCCTCCACCTTTCCATCTCTACATGCCATCTCCAGGACTACACACACAAGTGGGACACAGCAGTGGCAATGCTGCTCGAAGCGGGGCTGGAGGTGCCTCTCGTGCCGGAGGGTTCCGTGTTTGTGTTGCCCGCATTTCCGAGCAATGGGCTTTCATGTGTGCTCCTCCCTTTCTCCCCATCTCTCCATCCGTCCCCCAGGACTACACCCTCAAGCGGGACACAGCAGTGGCAATGCTGCTCGAAGCGGGCCTGGAGGTGCCTCTTGTTCCAGAGGGGTCCGTGTTTGTGTTCGCCCGCATTCCCGAGCGATGGGGTGTTGATGATGTAAGCAATGGGAGCGATGGCACTGACGAGCATGTAGAGGCAAGGCCCAATCCGGTCGTGCCAGCTCAGCATCGGTATGTCCGCGTGGCGTTCTGCAAGAGCACGGAGACGTTACAAGCGGCTCGAGAAGCGCTACAGCGCATGCAGGGTATGTTTGGTTAGTCTAAGTTTAAACTACACTGTTTCTTCTTTATCTGCTTCACGTTTTTAATGTTGGGATGTTGTGTAAACAGATGAGGATGAGGAGTGAGTTATCTCTTGAGCCTCCGATGCGTTGCATGCTGATCTCCAGGAGAACAACACGAAAATGCTCTGTAGCTGTTAGTGAGCAGCAGGCGTGCGGCGCGGCATGTGTAAGCACACCTAAGACCCAATGGTGACGGCAGGAAATTTTTTCAAATCCTAAAAAATCCCGAGAAATCTGACAAACCTGCCGGAAAATCTCCAAATGAGAATTATAAAAAAAGACCCGCCTAAGATCCCATGGTAAGGCCTTGCTTGTGTGAGTAGCAGGCGTGCTTTCGAGGCGCCTAAGAATAGTAAGTGCTCTGCTGGTGTTAGTGAACAGCAGACTTGCTTTCGAGGCGCCTCAGAAATAGTAAGTGCTCTGCTGTTGTTAGTGAACAGCAGAGTTGCTTTTGAGGCGCCTCAGAAATAGTAAGTGCTCTGCTGTTGTTAGTGATCAGCGGCCGTGCAGCATGTTTCGAACAGAACCCATGAAACGAGCACGAGGAGGAGGTGACGGGAGAAGAGGCGAGAAGAAGGTATGGAGGGGAGAGAAATGAGGGAGAGGGAAGGAGGAGGGAAGACCAACCAAGAACAGGCGGGAGATAAGAAGATAACCCTGGTGACGTGGCAATTGTCCAGTGGTCAGAAAACAGCGCCGTCGTCTCCAGGCGCCGCGGATGGAAAGTGGTAGCGCCTCGTACCGACACGCAGTTTTCCTTTTCCTGTCGGCGGAAACGAATTTCTACTACAGAGGGAACCATGTATTTTAGGCGTGTAAAAATTGTGCTGCTTCTACTGTCAGCGAGTTCAACGAATGTGTCCTACGTGGTGCTGTCTTGAGCAGCCATATCACGGATACGAGCTGGCATGAGAGAAATAAGAGCCTCTCATTCGAGGATAACCACACAGGGAGGTGACTCGATTCCGCGGGACCGCGATCGGCGAGATTGCTTGCTGCCTGTCTTCCTGATGTGGACGATCAATTGCACGTCGAAACCCTGAAATTTGGAACACTGCATTTGGTAGCTTCCCCTCGAGTCGCGCATTTTGATAAGGAATCTGGAAGAGGGCGATGTTTGGAGTGGAGCCGCGTCGTGTGAGTGCCAGATCGGCAGCATTTCTTGTTCGAGATGGAAATTGTCGTCTGGGTTCCCATAACCTTTCGCGAGGATCATCAACCGTTCGATAGGACCCGAACTCTAACAGGTTCCATTGATTCGTCCGAAGTAACATCTAGGTGCTCTGCCTTGCTCTTCTCCCTCTTTCTCCCTCACTCCCATTTCGTTTCGCATATAAATACAGGTGTTCGCTCGTTTACCATTTTGTTTTCCCGCAGTCCACCTTGCGTTTTCGTAACTTCGCCACTAAATCTCCAGCCCTCGATGTAGAGTGTTTTGCGGATGAGTCCTCCGGTGTTCGAGTGCTGCCATTCCAGTGACTAGTTTTCTTTCCAGTGTAACGTTTTTCCTGATCCCTTCGCAGACATCTCGTCAAATCGTCAGCAGCCAAGCAGAATGCACACAGAGAGCGAGAAGTGGTGTTACCACAGTTGATTTTCATCCCCAAAGCTACTTTCGCTCTATCGCATATACACCTCGCCGCCGACGCACTAGAGAAACCAGGGCACAAATACCTCGCTAAGGAGTGCTTCGCCTTCGCTAGAAAGAGGAAATCTTGCGGTTTTGTGTTAGTCTCCACAAACCCATTCTTCGAGTTTTTGAGCGCCAAGATCCAAGATGAGGAGTCTCGAGCCGCCGCCACACCAGCAGCATTTCAGCTCGGCCTTCTGTGCTTCGGTGGTCCACAGCCAATCCGATTTCTTTGAAGATCGACAAGTGTTGCTGATCTGGCACTTACTCCATCAGCAAAATCTTCCCCACGAGTGAGCTACGCTTCACGTCGAATCCACATGCTCCGCGTGGACGAAGTCGGCGGAGCACGAGCGCTCCGCAGGCTCACCAAAGACCTGATAAGCTGAATGTGGACTCCTCAAATGTGCGCCTCGATACGGGCAAGTGAACCCAGCCCACTATCGAGTCGCGAACACTCTGGCGATTCGGTAACAAGAGAAATTCAATGGTCCGAGACATTTTGGCCTCGCTTGGAATTTCTGTATCCTCCCACCCTGCATTCTCGTCTGTAGCCGATAAAAAGGGAAAGTCACGCCAGATCAATCACACATCCTCGAGTGTTATTTCTTCTCAGTTGCCACACTTGCTACTTCTACCAGCTGTGACAGCATCTCGTCACAGCAGAAGCAGCAAAATCTGGACTGGGATTTCCCCAGGCCTAGTCTTTCTGTCTACTCGCCGATTTGACTCGGTTTGCTGCGGAGAACATGGCTCGCGTCGGGCTTTATCACGCTGCATTGGCCTTTTTGGCCGTGTCAGTGCTTCTCCCCTGCTCAACCGCGGTGATTCTCAAGGCGTGGGGCGGCGCGCAGCCTCTCGAGCCGGTAAGATGACTTGTAGGAATAGTAAAATTTCCCGGGAACATCGTCATACGTAGCAGTTCCTCTGACTTTACCATTTCTTCATCAAGTTTTTTCAAACGTCTGGAAAATTACGTTTTAAGCACATCACTACACGTGGCCTTATGAAATCGTTGTTTCTCGCGTGACGTTTCATTTGAACCCACGCAGATGGCCAACCTCCTGATCGCCGCATGGAACAAGCAAGCCCCACCCGCGCAAAGATTCGGTCCGTATGACCCTTCCAGCTCCAGCAATGGCGTTGCGGGATTCTACAACGGAACCTACTTAATCGGCGCCTCCTCCGAGCCAATCAGCACCGACAAGGAGGATCCCACTAAACCCAAGATCACCGTCCCTCTCGCTATTGTCACTTACAGCTTCTTCGTGACAAAAGCTGCGGGCGCGAAGCCTCTGGTTCTCAACGCTGCGCAGTCGTACCAGATTTTTTCCGGCGCGATCAATTCCTGGGATAAGGTTCCCGCCGCGGCTGCCGCGAAGCTCACGGGCCCGATCACGCGCGTCGCACGCAGCACCAAGGTCGCGACGACGGCGATCGTGCAGCAGATGTGGTTGAAGGCCGGTGCCGGTTACCCGGCCGGCAGCGACACCACCGGCAAGCCCTTCACGTATGCCGGCCTCGTTTTCGCCGCGACGAGCGGCGATATGTGCACCAAAATCGCCGGGACGCCCGGCAGCATCGGGTATTCGCACACCGGCGGATGCAGCAAAAAGCCTGGCGTCGCGGAGGTGGCTCTGAAGAACAAGGCTGGCGTCGCCGTCTCTTCCGGGAACTGGAACTCCGTAATTCCCCTTCCCAAGGCGGTTCCTGCTCCGGACAAATCCTGGGATTCTGTCGACCTGATCTGGACTCCCAACGCCAAGGCGCCTCCCATGGTTTCTATGCAGTATTCGTTCATAAAGAAGAATCTTAAGGGCGTCACGGGTGGTGCGGCTGCCAAGGGATTTCTGGTGTTTGCTCTTCCCAAGGCTGGTCCTACGGCTACTGCTAGTGGGTTCGTGCCCGTTCCTTCCCAGTGGTGGGCCCCTTCTTGGAAAGCCATCAAGACCACGGTCGCTGTGTGAAACAGATGTGGAGAAGGGTTTTAAGTTTCCCTATTATAGAGCATCAGGAATGCTGGTCCTCTGTTGTTGGGAGTGTAACCCTAGTATGGTTGAGGTTTGTCCTCGCTTGTGTTTGCACCGATATATGGTTCGCAGAGCAATTATTTGAAATAGTTTCAATTTCGCCGCTGGCATCAGGCAGGCTTGTTCCGATAGTGACTATGCCATGCCAGTGAAGTGACATGTTTGATCGCCTCTTCCTTTTCAGCAGCAATGCTAGGATCAGTGTCTGCAGACCTCACGGTTGGAGAGGTCAAAATCAGTCCTAGTACAGCATGTACAAGCTGACATGACAGTATAATAGAGGCAGCATTACATTAATAAGGCACAAACCAGAACCAGAACTCACGACAATGCAACAACGGAACGGAATTTTAGTACTAATGCATACCGTCATTGGCAACAAGCAGAGGAAACATAACAATGGGATGGGAGCAAGTATATAACAACAACGAGAAGATGAAGATAAGGAGATAAGAGGACATGTAGTTCAATTGTAGAAGATGAGGATGAAGTGGACAGGATAAGGAGGACGAGGATAAGGACGAGGGAGGCAACGATGAGGGTGAGGAGGCTGCACAGGAGCACCGATGAGCTGCAGCTTTAATAGCGGAGGATGAGGATGAGGAGGATGAGCATAAGGAGATAAGAGCACGGGATGAGCTGCAGCTTTAGTCATAGAAGACGAGGATGAGGAGGAAGAGGAGCATAAGGCGGTGCAATCACGAGATTAGACACAGCGTCAATCGTAGAAGATGCGGATGAGCAGAACGAGGAGGAGGAGGACGATGAAACGGAGGTACCTCCTTTTCAATCCCGTGATGCAGGGGATGCGCAGCAGCTTCAATCGTAGAAGATGAATATGAGGCGGATGATGAGGATAAAGAGGCGCAATCATGGATCAGGCACAGCTTCAATCGTAGAAGATGAGGATGAGGAGGATGATGAGGATAAAGAGGTGCAATCATGGATAAGGCACAGCTTCAATCGTAGAAGATGAGGATGAGGAGGACGATGAATGCGATGATGAGAGCGAGGAGAATACACAACTGCCCCTTCAGACCAGCCTTCTTGAGAACCACTGTCATCTTTTTCTGTGGATATGGCAGCGAAAACGGGAAAGCAAAAAGAAGAGGAAGCGAGGGGAGCGAAGATGGCAGAGGAGGGTGGGCGGGATGATGGCAAGAGTTAACGCAGGATGATGGTGAGGGAAGGGTTGATTCAATGCAAGCTGGTTCACAAGACGAGGTGCCTTAGCAAGAATTATTTCACTAGGATAATGGCTAGGAGTTACCGCGATTTGAGTGAACGAAGAAGCGAGGAGAAAAGGAGGCGAGGAAAGGGGGACATGCAAAGGGAGGGGAGGAGGGATACGGGAGGGTTGTGGTGTATTTGAGGAGGGATATGGGAGGGTTGTGGTGTATTTGAGGAGGGATATGGGAGGGTTGTGGTGTATTTGAGGAGGGATATGGGAGGGTTGTGGTGTATTTGAGGAGGGATATGGGAGGGTTGTGGTGTATTTGAGGAGGGATATGGGAGGGTTGTGGTGTATTTGAGGAGGGATATGGGAGGGTTTTGGTGTATTTGAGGAGGGATATGGGAGGGTTGTGGTGTATTTGAGGAGGGATATGGGAGGGTTGTGGTGTATTTGAGGAGGGATATGGGAGGGTTGTGGTGTATTTGAGGAGGGATATGGGAGGGTTGTGGTGTATTTGAGGAGGGATATGGGAGGGTTGTGGTGTATTTGAGGAGGGATATGGGAGGGTTTTGGTGTATTAGACGTGTGCAGCTGGAATGAATCACCTCATTCAGGAAATAACATCTGAATCGGCCACCGAGCACCTGAACCTACCTGAACCTACCTGAACCTACCTGAACCTACCTGAACCTACCTGAAACTCAACGACATATCAACTGAAACCACCAAACGTCCCACGAATCATCATCCCAACCAGGCATACCTGGTTCATGTGTCACCTGAACCAGGTACTACCAACCGAACCAGGTCTCACCTGAACCAGTCCTAGCCGCCCCCCAGTCCTCTCCATTCCTTCATCCAACTCCCCTATCAACGACTCCTGTACATGGGGCGAGGGAGAGAGGGAGCGAGAGAGGGAGGGAGGGTGGGAGTGAGAGAGGGAGTGCGGGAGGGTTTTGAGTCAACTAAGAAAAAAACCTGAACCAAGTATCATGTCGCTCCCCCTGTCCTCTGTTTTGCGTCGCCAACTACCCATTACGACTCCTGCCAGTGGGACGAGGGAGGGAGGGGGAGGGAGGGAGGGAGGGAGGGAGGGAGGGAGGGAGGGAGGGAGGGAGGGAGGGAGGGAGGGAGGGAGGGAGGGAGGGAGGGAGGGAGGGGAGGGAGGGAGGGAGGGAGGGAGGAGGAGGAGGGAAGGAGGGAGGAAGGGAGGGAGGGAGGGAGGAAGGGAGGGAGGGAGGAAGGGAGGGAGGGAGGAAGGGAGGGAGGGGGGAGGGAGGGAGGGAGGGAGGGAGGGAGGGAGGGAGGGAGGGAGGGAGGGAGGGGGAGGGAGGGAGGGAGGGGGAGGGAGGAGGGAGGGAGGGAGGGAGGGAGGGAGGGAGGGAGGGAGGGAGGGAGGGAGGGAGGAAGGGAGGCAAGAGGCAAGAGACGATTGTTGAGGCGCTTCAAAAGGGAGGGAAGACAGGCAAAGATCAACTCTTTCAAACAAAGAGAATGATGGCATTAGGTCAACAGAAAGAGTAAGACACAAGCTGATCACACATATGACAGCCCACCTGAGAGCCCACCTGAGAGCCAACCTGAGAGCCCACCTGACAGCCCACCTGACCACCTGGAAGATTACCTGGGAGCCGAGCTCCTCGTGAATGGCAATGCCCATGCCTCCTATCCGCGCCAGGCTCTGACTCATCGCGTCCAATTGGTCGTCCTGCTCTCTGTACTCGTTACAGGGGAGATTCGGCATAAGAAAATGGCACGTTGAATGAGTGAACACACCCCCATGCCTCCGATCCGAGCCAGGCTCTAACTCATGTCGTCTAGTTGGTCGTCCTGCTCCCTGTACTCATTATAGAGCGATCCAGCATCAGGAAAAAAACGCATGATACGACGCACAAAGTTATGAAGGCCTGAGATACGAGTCAATAAAGGCACGAAACATAGCGTCCAATTGGTCAATCCTGCTCCTTGCACCCTATAAAGAGGGGCTCGACAAAAGAAAACAGTGCATGGAGTGAGGCAAGAAGCACATGGATATAACATAAGTGAACAGGCCTGAACGCCACCTCTGCATACGTCAAACCCGCGCATATGTCCCAAAAATTTGCAATGTTCGTTGCAATGTTACACGCCCTAAGTGAACAAACACAGGCCTGAACGCCACCTCTGCGTGCCAGACCCTTGACTCATTGGCCTCTTTGGCCGCCCTGCTCCCTCTTTGTACCTCATTACAAGCACATGCCTCGTTATTAGCAATTCATCAGCATCACCACGCACCTCATGATGAGTGCTTGTCTGTCGTCTTCCGAAGCGGCAAAGCTCTCGTTCTCTCCACCAGCGCTGCTCTTCTCAGCAGCCTTGGCAGCGGCGCCAGCCTGCGCTCTCAGCAGCTCCCTCCTCTCCGCCTCCTTCTGCATCGCCGCCCGCTCCGCTGCCGCTGCCTGGATGGCAGATCGGATCATGGAGATTTGATCCCGCGTGCTGCCTGTCCACTTGCGTCTGCTCTCCACCTCGCCCTGCTCTATGTTGAAGCGCGAGGGGTCCCTCTCTGCCACGCCTATGGCTCTGTCCAACTCCTCTAACTGGATAAAGGGAGGAAATAGAGGAACGAGCAATCAGACAGTCAGGCAGACGGTAACAAGGACAGGCGGTCAGTCACAGCACACAAGAGAGGACCATGGAGATTTGATCCCGCGTGCTGCCGGTCCACTTGCGTCTGCTCTCCACCTCGCCCTGCTCTATGTTGAAGCGCGAGGGGTCCCTCTCTGCCACGCCTATCGCTCTGTCCAGTTCTTCCAACTGTAGAATGGGGATGGGAAACGGGAACAGCCAGTCACAGCACATGGGTAATGGGACATCACAACTAACTGCTGTCTGCTCTCCACCTCGCCCTGCTCTATGTTGAACCGAGAAGGGTCCCTCTCTGCCACGCCTATGGCTCTTCATAACTGCCTAGTCTCAAAGCACGCACCTCCCACCCAGCACCACCACGCACCTCCCAGCACCACCACGCACCTCCCAGCACCCCCACGCACCTCCCATTCGAGTGTCTCTGTGTCGGCCAGTATTGTCTTGGAGAGCGTCTCTCTCTCCTGACTGCTCGCCCCTAGCCGCTCCCACTTGCTGTAGTCATCCTGTACCTTGGACACCTGACGAGTATAGAAAAGAGGGAGGGGAGAATGGGGTGGGGGGAAGGGCAGGGGGGAAGAAGGGGAAGGGTGAGGTGGGAAGGTTGGAGTGGTCTACCTCCAGGTTGCTCGCTCCTAGCCGCTCCCACTTGCTGTAGTCATCCTGTACCTTGGACACCTGGAGAGGCGGGGAAGGAAAACGGTGGGGGAATGGCTGGTTGTGAAGCTTGCAGGGGGGAGAATGAGGCGGTGTCTCTCCTGGCTGCTCGCCCCTAGCCGCTCACACCTGCTGTAGTCATCCTGTACCTTGGATACCTGGGGGGGGTTGAGGTGGAGGGTGGGGAGGGCAAATGGGGGCAAAGGGGAACGGGGGAAGGGTGAGGCGGCCTCTCTCCTGGCTGCTCGCCCCTAGCCGCTCCCACTTGCTGTAGTCATCCTGTACCTTGGACACCTGGGGAGGCGGGGAGATAGGGGGGAATGGAGGAGAAAGACGGAAGGAGGGTTGGAATAGGGAAGAGTGAGAGATACGGAAGGAGGAAGGGGATGTTGGAAAGGAGGGCGGAAGGTTGGGGGGAAGGGAGGGCGGAAGGTTGTGCGGAAGGGAGGGCGGAGGGTTGCAAATGGCTGCGACAGGAATG